ATTTGTATCAGCGTACCCTGTTTCTAAAAGGGGATACAAACTGTGTTAATGAGTTGCTTCATAGGAGCTAAATATACTCACAAAATGAAAACAAGTAACTATATTTCAATAAAATAACATAGTCCGTGTTTAAAAAGGAAATACAATGTTGTTTAGAAAGACATTTTTGAAAAGAAAGAAATTTGTAACAAGCGAGATTAAGCTTAGTGCACAACGATAAGGCAGTGCTCATGTCATTACATCGAACGGAAGAAAAGTTAAAAATTGAAAATGACAACTTTTCATGTCAAAAAGGGCTTTCCGTCAAAAATACACTAACCCAAATTTGAAATATTGGAAGTAATTTATGAAACGATACAGTCTTGCCATTTCAAGTAATCGTATCAAAATTTTGCTCCACAAAGTTTGCAAATTAATTTCAATGACTGCATCACACTTTGTATTCAAACCAACAAGTGCATCGTCCTAAAGTAACATAAAAAATAGTACTGAAAATCGAAATTGTAATCAAAATGGAAAAATTCGTATTTCATTCTTATTCGTATAGAGTTGATTATCAGTTTTTCTAAAAACGCAAAATTTCGAAAATCCTTTCTTTTTCATTATTTTTTTACATGCTTTCAGTGTAAAATGGTAATGCAAAGATTACACAATTCAAAACATTATTACGATAAGAAATCATTTGAAATTTGCAATCAAATGCATAATTAAATGCAAAATTAAATGCATGATTCTTAAATTTATTAGTAGGTCAATGATCCGACAGAAAGAGCTCATAGTTTTTCATAAAATTCAGATCGTCATTTTACAACTTTTCATTACTGCAAGTGGTTGGCCAGCGCGCTTACTGTCAATCATGAATTCGTTTGAACACAGTAATATGCCAGGTTGTAGATTCAATAATTTTAAGCGTGCTTCACAAAACATTTACTGAAAAAATTCTGCTTATTTTTTAGAGTTTATTTTTTGAATATGAAAAACATTTTGAATCGTTGCAACATTGAAATTTATCAGTTATTCTGTTGGAATAATTTTCGTCGAGCAATGTTCATTCACTAGCGTAAGTATAATATTGCATTATTTATTTAAAGAGCCACAAATTAATCAATTTTTTTTTTGAAAAATTCAATAATTTTTTTAACTTTCTTTCGAAAGGTCAAGAGGCGCTTTTTTCTTATCTAGAACTTACTTTAAATCATTGGTTTTCACTGGAAATAGAAAAATATTTTCATTATATTGCCCATAATGTCAATCATTTTAAGCATCGAATAAAGAAGCTTCAAAGATAGCTCACATCAAGACGTAGCATAAAGCGTTCAAATCATTTTTGTTATTTTGCAAGTTTCTAGCCAATTGAATTGTTAGAAACCTACGATACAAAGATTTGCAGTTGATTAGATCTTTCAATGTTTTTAAACTAAATTTTAAATAAATGAACAATCAAAATGCAGAAAATCCTAACGCACAACCGGATTTATTGAATGCAGGTGACGTTGTTGCCGATCGCTTTATTGTCGAAGAAAAAATTGGACAAGGAAGTTTCGGGCAAATTTATAGGTGATTTCTGCATCTTTCAAATTGACGGAACTGTTGTTATGCATATTATGTACTACTACAAAGAGCTTTAAAAATAATTTGTCGATGCGAGTTTTGTTTTGGCCAAAATAACCAATCAAAATAAGTGATTTACAAGACTGGAAAAGACGAAGTATTCCAAAACAATCACAAATACTTCTACTTGAGGTCATTACAACCAATATTCAGTATCAAATTGTTTTGTTGGCTCTGTGGGCGCTGCGAAATTCAGCTTTAATTGAGATTTCTTAAAGCAACATTTTTATGCATTCATTCTTAAATATACTCTTATGGAACATAAAATCACTTGCTTGCTTGCTTACTTATTTGCTTACTTGCTTACTTGCTTGCTTACTTACTTGCTTACTTACAGAGGAAACGATAAGTTCAGTAAACGCACAGTCGCTGTGAAAGTCGAACCGGAACAAAAGGGAGTCTTAAGTGGCTCACCCAATGACCCACGCCGTTTAGTCATCGAACAACAAGTTCTTTTAGCTTTGCGTGAAAAGGTTTATCTTAATCACTTATGAATTATAAAAGTTTTCTACTAACTCAAATTAATTTCTTCTTGACACAACATTTTCATGGATGCTTTTGTAATGAATATAAATGGTATATTGTAATTTTTTTGGGTAAACGAATTCAGCTCTAATTGAAATTTGCTAAAGCAAGAAGCTGGCTAACTTCATGTACAGCGTTTTTTAATCTGAAAGTAATCTCACAAATTAAATGGCTGAAAATCCAAGTGAGAATGTTTGAAATAATAAAAAGAGTCGTTGCTTTTCTGCACTCTTTTTAAAAAAATTTTTAGAAAAACATCCCAGAAATATACGCCAGCGGTAAAACGTGCGGAAACTGCCCATATATTGTAATGCAAATATTAGGAAAGAATCTGACAACACTACGAAAAGAAAGAAAGGTACCGAAGTTTACTGCATCAACGGCTTTCCGAACTGGCGAACAAGTAATCTGCTTGTTTCACCAAGTATTTGGTACTACACAATGCACACAGATAAAATTACTGCTGATTACTTGGTTCAGCACTAACCATACAATCTAAAACCAATTTTTATAACTAGGATTTTTATAGTGGTTTGCCATGATTAGTTTCAAATGATTTAAAAATTACTTTGTGAAATTACTTAATTGCGAACGTTCATTTAAATAAATCCCTCGCTGTGATTGGTCTTGAAAAATTGCAAAGTATTCATTCGTTTACTGAATTATTCTCTCCTGAGGTAAAATTCCAGCTTTTAAAACGATTATTTGAAGCATCAAAAAAATCAGAGCCAAATTTTGTTTGTTGTCATTAAGATAGCTCATGCGCTGCAGTATCTGCATGAATCAAGGTACATACACCGTGACATTAAACCTTCAAATTGCTGTATTGGCGTTCCACCTTTCAGTGGTGTCATATATCTCGTTGACTTTGGTTACTTTTATTTAATGACTCAGTGCTCGTTATGCTCTTCACCAAAATACATATAAATTTTCTGCCATATCTTTTGAATATAAATTGTTTAAACATTGAGTTTTTTCCAGCACAGAAAAAGCAACTTTGAATTTTTTATTCGGCATTTAGTAATTCAGTGAACATTTCAAATATCAGCAACCTTTTTAATTGAAAATTTGACTAGAGTTTGTGTATAAAAGAAGTTTAGTACTTTCAGGATTGTGTAGGAAAGTATCTGATGCACAAGGCATGTGGCACGTTTCATTACCCAAGTCGATATTTAAGGGAACTTTACGATACGCTTCCTTAAATTCAATCAAGACCCGCAGATGTGGTCCATCTGATGATCTCATTGGGTGGACTTACTCTATAGTAAGTGAAACAAATATTGGATATTTTTGATCACTTTAGCAAACATCTCCTTATAGTCAGTCCTTCACATCTGTTCATATAACAATATAATTTTGTAACTAGGCATAATATTTGACATGTTAAATTTTATAAATTTAAGATTGAATTGGCACTATCAAAACTACCGTGGGCAAGAAGCACACCACGAGAAATGATACGCCAAAAGGCAAGCATCACAAGTGAAGAGCTTTGTGCTCAGATGCCTGCACCTTTTCTGCAAGCTTATAAATACGCGCTTAGTTTGAGACCGACTCAGATGCCTAAGCACGCTTTTTTTAATGAATGCCTGAAACAATGCATTCCATTGGGGGTCAAACCAAATGACCCATACGATTGGGACATTTGCACTTACAATGTGTGACGCTTTCAAATACTTAGATATCTTTCTTCTTTGTTGCATTCTGCGAACTTTATCGCACTATTTTAATTGTATATTCAAAAATATACGCCTGAGAAATGCACTGCATGACACAGTTTATGATGAAGGATCTCAATGTTTTTTTATTTATATGAGTGACAGTGTAAATATTGGCTTTTCATAGTTTTCATACTATAATTTTTATTTGTATTAATTCTTCTGCAAGTGTATTTGATAAATGAGTAGTCAGATGCGAAATTCGAAATTGTTTGAAGAGTGAAAACAACTTTAAATTTTGATACATTTTTTTCCAAAAAAACCAAAGTTGATAAATGTGATGAGGACTAGGAACTATTTTTTGAACAACACCACAGCGTTTGATAACTTTTGATAATCATTTTCGTGCTGACTGGTTCTATTTTGATTCTGAAAACGAGAAACTGTTTTTAGCAAAAACGTTGCTCATAAATTTGCTAGTTCTGAAAGAAAACTCAAAATTATATGAATTGCATATATAATTATTTTTGCGGAAAACAAAATTTGAAAGCGCAACAACTTGATATCACTGAATTCAGTTTAAATCTGCTCTTTATGGAATTAATTTCTGAACAAACTCTCCGCTGATTGTTGGACACGAAAGAGTATAATAGAATGTTGAAAACACTTTGCGTAATGGATACACTTCTATTTTGAAGCACTTTTTTTTAATTCTGGCAAAAGAATGATTTTAATTCAAAATGATAGTTGATGTGATTAAATTACTTTCAGAATCGCAGTAAAATTTTCTTGAGCTCTGATTGTTATCAGTAATCAAATCTTTATGTTTGCCGTTTTTAAATTTTCTGTCAAACTGATTAGCCCAAGTAGATAAAAGTTTTGAACAGAAATGCTTCCATGGTCAGTGACAGCGTACATTACTATGCATATTTACACATATATTCATCTTTTTGCCGTGAAGATTAAAGCACTTTTTGCTTGCAGGGAAGTTTTAGATCATATAATGAATAGTAACTTCCCAGCGTGTACAGGTACGTGAACTTTTAAAGCCTGCTTGTGTCTATGATTATAAGCTTATTTAATCGGCTGGTTGCGTGAACCCTTATATGTCATATGAGTACAATTTTTGGGAAGAGTTAACTTGCGTGAATAAGCATATACAAAGAATGTTTTGCGCAATTTATGCAAAATGACAATGCTTGGAGTGTTTCTGTGCTCAAAGCATCCAAGTCTTCATCATTAAAAAATCTACACATTGCATTGTGAATATGATTAATGAGCGATGTTTACAGCTAATAGATGGCTAGTCTGCGAATCTGTGGGGAGAGATATTGTAGGGCTGTGCATAGAATAACACTGTTTTTGCTAGATAACGCTTCTCAATCTGCCTATAAAGTTCATCGACAACTCCATAATTTTTTGATAATCTTTCTTAATTGCATGTAAGCCTTTCATTTGACTAATTTGTTTTCTGTTAGATTTATTAGTGCTGATCAATAATTGCATGTCAATTACGAAAAGTTGAGGTAGATTCAGACTTGAATAGAAATCTAAGATTCAGATTTTTCATTTAGATTAAAATATTTGGTAGCCAAGTAATGTTGGAGCGAAGATTAAATTGAAATAATGAAATGAGCGAGAACTCGTGGAGAAGATAGAAAGCAATGACTCACTATATCCTAAGTGTTCAAGCGCTAGAAGTGAAAATATTCCGCGCAGAACTGAATAGATTGATTTGGAAAGAGTAATTAGTTGCTAGCACATAAGTGACTACTCGTATGAAATTACGTAACTGATTGCAGTTCGATCACTTGCGAGTATAAAAATAAAGAAATTAGCTGTTACAATCTTTTTAAGTCCGCACTGCTAATCCGTTACGAATAGTATCTCAATTACCAGAATCGATGGCATTTAAGCAAAACGGCTTTATAATATCTGAAACAAAAAGTGCTCTAAAGTGTGTCAGTGGAGTACTGGGAGGATACTGTATTTGTACAAACAGAAGAATTACTGTGCTTCAATGTAACACTGACAAGAATATTTGATGAAAAATCAGCAACTACCATAAAATGCGAAAAAAAGGGATGCTCGAATTACATGTAGTGTTCATGTAATTAGCTTATCTTCATCAAGCAGTAATCCTTGGACAATTCAAAGTGGTCAAAGTATGATAATGATGCAAATGTATAGATAGACTTGCTTGTTAATCATATTATAATTTTCTCTTAATATTTTTTTTCCGCTACTTATTGTGAGCAATTTATGATTGAAATCAGGACTAAATAGTCGTTTATTTTTTAAATCCGTGAATATTCTCAAGATTATCAACTTCAGTGCTTCCACGATACTCGCAAGCAATATTGATGATGAGTATGGGGTAGTGATTAATAAGCAGTACTGGGAAGGAAGGCACAATTTCTAATGAAAGTACTATGCTACTGCTATTACAAAGTAATACTGATCTATGGAAATGCAGTCAAATCAAACAGCAATAACGGATCTCCTAAAGTTTTAATTCTCGACAAATGAATGAATACAAAACACAATTCACTTTATTTTCACATAAGACTGCAATGATTACTCATACGTATGTTTTTATTGCAGATACATCTATCTATTCCGGTAGACACTGACCTCACATTGGATTAATGGAATTTTGACATATTCGATTTAATTCATAATCTCGGAATTGTAGAAGGATAACAAACACTTTGAACTCATTTCAGTACACACAGATTAGGAAGGAGCACCAAAAATTAATAGCTCTCAAGTATCACAATGGCAAAGAATAATCAGGTTTATAACGAATTTATACTCATTCTTATGATGTTACATCAAGCAGTTAATTAACTAATAAAAACACTGCCCACAGTCAGTGCGGAATGTGCTTTACAGTGTAAAATCGGAGTCTATAAAGTTTCATGGGATTTACTAACCGTGATTATTTGAAGAACAAAATAAGTTCGGTACCATACTTTAGGTACAGAAAAAGAATTAACGAATATTTGACTGACATGAAAATGGCAAGACATAAAAATCTGAGCATGCAGTTAATGCAGATTTTGTACGCAGCAGATCTAACCGTATTAATTTTCTGGTATCCATCAAAAAAATAAAATAGATTGTAGGCACTAATATCTTTTCATCTTTCTAGACTGCTGAACTAATCTGATCTGTTAGTCTAACAATCAGAGCAAAATCTATATCCTAGCTTTTACTATGTGCTTGAAAACTTTTATTTTGCATAACTTATAATAATCTTATAGACGATTTTTTCCACCTACCACTATTGGTTTTTACAACCATTTACATTCTTTTCCTACCGCACTGTCATGAAAACTCTCTAATGAACAAGTTGATGCAAGATTTCATTCACGACGTGGTGAATAAAATATATGCGACAGATAATGTAACAGTTCAATGCAAAAGATATAAAAGCACTCCATTCTCTAGTAACTTATAGTTGAGGGAATAAACTTCATGATCTACTTCCTACTAAAAAAATCGTTCTTAAATCCTTTGCATGGAAGTAACTAACGACATTTCACGACATTCAAGAAGTCTTTCTCTCCAACTGAACCTGCAGCAATTCCACCAGAACTCAAAATCACCTAATGACTACACTTCTTCCGTGACGTCTGGTTCTTCAACCCTACCTCGCCCATGCATTGCTTGCACCTCCATGTTCAATAACCTGCCAACGAGACTCAAGCCAAAGCTAACAACATTCCCGACCTCTAAAACAAAATGGTGCCGAACCTCCCTATGGAAAGAATGAAACCCATGACATTATAAGAGATGAGAGCAAACTACAAAACAGCAAAAGTAATACCTACGCAAATACACCATGACTTCCCCTTAACAAATGTCTTGCAAGGCTAGTCCCCATCAAGGAATTGAAGAGGATTCATATTACCAATTCTGCTGCACAAATGTTTTGGTCGTTTTGCTTACATGTCACAAAAATAAAACGAGCAAATCTAATGTGTGACGGTGACCACAAACGAACAATTTATTATTAAAAAATAGTCGTAACAAATAGAACATGCTGCGGTACAAGCATGACTAAAAAGTGACTATCGTAACCCAAAACTTCACAAATGCTTGTTTGTAAAACAAGAACACCTACCACCAATCTCAAATATACGACTTATGGAGCGCAGCAATCGCCAAAACACCCTTCCAGTTTCAAATAAATAAATGTGGAACTTCTCAAAGCTTAGATATGTGTGCCCGAACCGCAGACATTATCGATAGAAATAGTTAAGTTTAAAACACCAAAATTGAAAAAATTGATGAATATATTGCCTTAGAAGAAAAATAGCCAAGACTTAAATTATTTCTGCTATTTTCTAGTAAAAATTCTGGGTAAGGGTCACGTTTTCTGCTTAAAACTTACAAAACACTTGATATATATTTCAAATAAAGTTTGATATAAAGAATTTCTCAAGACAACTGAAAAATCGCGTTACCAGTAATAATAGCACACTACGAGAGTGAAACTATTACCATTGATAACAGAGACCAGTTTGTATAATTTACTGTGTGAACCAGCGAATAAATATTCCCGACAAAGCGGTGCAAAACATCAACGGGGTGGGGATGACAATATAAATATTGAATCAGAAAAATAATAGTGATAATATTAGAGAAATGACTGTTGCAGAAGGAATTCACAATTTTGAATCAACCGTTTTCTTTAAAATACAACTAAAGTCAAAGTGCCCTTCAAACGACTAATGACGAACGGCTTGTGGAAAACCACCACTTGGCGCTCCATAACCACGCCCACCATATCCACCGCGGCGCCCGAACCCGCGCCCGCGGCCACGCAGAAGTCCTAAGCGACGAGCTGGATCGATACGGCGCCAAACGTATTTCTTCAACTCGTTGAAACGTTTCTCGATCTCCTATTCACAAAATTATAGTTGACATATAAAAATGAGATACCGAAAATCTGTGAGAAATCCATTCTTAGATTTTGAACACATAAGACCGTAAACATGAACAAACTTGTTCCTCATACGGTCCCGACCATGAATGTCCCTCCTTGATTTGCTGTCGAAGTCGCATGAGAGCTTTTCCGCCTTGATTTTCACCATCCCAAAAAATCGGCTTGTTGGCTTCGTCACGATTTTTACGCCAACCAGTACCAAAAACCTGCAGCGACCGACAATTATTTAAAAGAAACTGGAATTATTTACCAAGTGCGCAATCAATGTAATTCACAAAAATATACCTTGTCTTGTGAAGCAACAGCAATATATGTTTTTCCGGTATAGACCAACAAATTGGCAATCCAGCGAGTCTGCTCCAGCTTCAAATGCTGGCCGGCTTCCCAAACACCCATTTTTACCTGAAAAACCTCCCGACACCACTCACTGTTTAAAGAATGAACTGGAAAAACCGTCCTTAGAAGAACAGAAAAACTAAACACAAGCAGACTATGCAAATGACAGCAATTATAAAAAGTACTTCATTCCACTTTGCTTCATCAAAACCTTTAATGTCTTTCATTGCTTCTTCAGCCTTTATAGTGGATGGCGCATCAAGGATTTTAGCCATAGTTTCCGAGTCGCCGAAATGTTCTGCCATCTTGTACCTTGAAATGATGATTCTTACAAAACCAAATTTAAATGAAAGCATATCTTTGTGAGCTCACAACTTCTTACCAATAATAACGCTCAGCCGATTTGTGTTCGACACCTCGGTCGTCACGGATCGATACCTCGAATCTCAGACTAAGAGGATCCTGGGCGCCTGATATTAGAACATTACAGTTTGCGTAAAAGCTTCAAAGCGTTGACATGATCTACTCAAGTCATTTTATAAAAGCCGCAAGTACCAACCTCCCACAAGTATGAAATCACGACCGATATCGTCATAATCGAGATCAGCTTCCGTGGCTCCAACTTTGAGGTTATCCGTTTCCGCTGATGCCCCACTCAATCCATTTATGGTTTCCTGCATGCGTTTCATCTTCTGCTTTACTCGCGCATTTTCCAACTACAATACACAAAAAAATTCGTTCTCATAGAGTATAAACATTTTTTGCTGGCTATTTAATATTTACCACACTTAATATTTAGTTAATACTCAATAAACAATTTAGATTAGATTTTAAACAAACTTTGAGCTTCCGAACTGCTTGCCGTAGGTTATCCTTTTCCTTCTCCAACAGGACCACAGCATTACGAATTTGTGCTGAGTCTTGCTTTATCCATATGATTTCCTGCAAATGATCAGGAGTTTTCCGCGACGCAAACATCCGACCACACGCCATTATACAACAACAAAATGCACAATAAAAACTTATTTCACGAACTTTTATACCGCTGGAAAATCAATATGCAAATTTCACATAGCATACTTGTTGCAAACTGTAGTTACTATTGCCCGAGCGACGCCCATTGCCAGAAAGCGGTTGCGGAGTAGCTCCTTCATCCATAGCAACGTGAGATGGCTGTTGATGATCGACAGTGCTTTCGAAGTTGTTGAAGTTTCCCAAACCGGCGAAATCTCCGTAACCTAAACAAAAACGAGTATAACTTTTTCCAGAAAACCTTGCCCAGTGAGCTGTCATCTCCACTGCAATTACGACAATAACTAAACTAGACTAACTATTCTTACTTTCGGGTCAAATGCCTACTCTTCAATCTAAATTTGATCGACAACTTTTCGTTACATTGACAGCACTTCTAGTATCAACATAAAAAATTTCTCGGACTCATCTAGTTTGCGCTTTCATTTTTGGAAAAATTTCAAAACCGACTCCTTAATATTATGGGAAACCATATAACAACATATTTGTGAAAATAATAGCGACAAAATGACAGAAGGAATATAGGAATAAAAATACCTCGCGTTCCGACTCCGGCGAAGCTCATCCCAAACCAAATAGTGTACCGTTCCCCGTTGAGTGACCCTGGAAAGAAATTATCAGTGAAGAACTAGCTGCAGACGCGTAGAACGACAAGAACTAACTGCTGGAATATTCTTGAAGACTTGCAAGAAAGGAACGATCACATGATCTTAGAAATAGAGCAAATCTCAACAAAATGTGAATACAATTGGTGCAGAAAGAATCACTGAGCTACTACAATGACATAAGTTTGGAAGGCTAACCAAATATCAAAAAAGGAACCGTTCACCCGCCAAATTTCATAGATTGAGTGCTAGCACAAATCAAGACCAGACAGGCGGCCATCATCGATTTCTTGATCTTCCAAGTCTCACCTACGACTCCAAGACCTCCTCAAGAACTCCCTAAAATACGACTGACCTGACCTAAACGCACAAACCCACTTTACCGCAATATGCTAGGAGATTTACCGCCCTCAAACACACACACATATATAATCACGAACAACACTGACAACCACCCCCTTTACTAATGTGCACGAAGATCCCAAAAACTTTCAAAAAGATCGTTTCTCAACAATCGTTATAAAAGCTAAAAGTGAACTATACAGCGTAATAGCACTTGAAAATTTTTCGTTAATGCTGTAAAGTTTTTGAAATTAATGCATCGGACTTCTTTGTTGAAATTGGAACAAATGTTGCTTTACTGTCAAAGTATGAGAAACATTTTTCGATAGGAAACCCTGTAAGCTGCTGAGGATATAAGGTAAGCCCTGAAATCGAGCTCTACCTCAATCATTCAGAATTAAGCTTAAAAACAATAATAACTATGAAAAGAATCAATCAAGCAAGTAAAATTATTCATCACTATCGCTGATGCACAAAGAAGCATGCGGAAATAAAGTAAAGATTTCATTCGTGCGATGAAAATTGTAATATTTGCTTTTGACTCTCATTTGAATCGCATCAGTTAGCATGGAGCAGTCATATCAAAATGTTATTTGTACTGAAATTTGTTAAAATCAGAACAGAGGCGACTAACTAACTCATTACTGCTGAAAAGGATAATGGATTAGAGAAAACAAATTCAGCGCGCAGAAAGTAGCCCGTAAGTAGCCTGTACAGCAGTTGATGGTGTTAAAAATTTATTATTATATTCTGTATGTGTCGAAAGCGGCTATGTTACTATTATGTTTGCAATGCTCGAAAGTTGTGCATCCACTTTTTGGCCTGAGAGTATGCAGCTGAATTTTTGCGGAGGTAGCCCCCAATAGAAATAAGTACTGCAAGTGATCTCTCACGCGAAGTTAATTTCTTCTGTAATTTTCGAGTGAAGCAAATATTTCAGCATTTTTTCAAGTTTTATATTCGGACAGAGGAAGAGATCTGCAATATCGTCGAAACAACTACTGCAATTGATTGTCCATTTTTCAAACTAAAATAAAAATTGAGCAGAACTGGATAAATCCTATCAGCTGAGTTTCATTTTATTTTTCATTATGCAAATTTCATTGGACACTCTTGTGCTGAAGCAAGCATGCGCTGCAACTTGTACAATCTGTTCATTCCAGAATTTGCATGCGCCTTGCAGTGCTACTTTGAAAGTTGTTTTAGTGTACTGAAGGTTGGTTGTTGAGTGAAATGTAAAAAGTAATTAATAAAATAATGCGTGAAATCTTGAAGTAAATAAGTATTTAAGTAAATAAATAACTGCCATCTCAGCGCTAGGCGAATTTCAATTTGCACCGAGTAAGATGCCCTTGCCCTTCCTTGGCCTAACTGAAGTGAGTCGGGCCAGTCTGCTCACAACTTCCATCTCGTAGTTTATTTCGGCAGAAAAACAAGTGTTAGCAAGTGTACTTTGTTTTGGTTCCAAAGCTGAATGCTTACTTCTACAGCATTCGAATAATACATGCTTTCAGGCTTGCTTACTTTTCAGCACTTGGCTATCAGTCGATGTTTCTGCATAATATAATTATTTACTTCGTTGCTTGCTTCTTTTCTAATCGAGAACATTCCAGACTGACCGAGATCAAATTCTTAGTCGTTTTGCTTTGCTGACACAATACTTTATTCATACACTCATCAATCACAGTTACTTCCTCAACAGTTACTTACTGTATTTCAGACAATCCAACAACAACTTGAAATATTTTTGCCTTGAATTGCGCAATATAAATGTTAGCTTTAGTGGTATATTGATTGCTGCTCGATTCAAAAAGAGATTCAGTTATCCAAATGTTTTGTGATCTTCCTTCTTCCTCCGTCCAAATTTCTGCTCTCAAACAAGCACACATTTTGCTTTAATTCGTTTAATTTGATTTACTTTTGAAAAACTCTCTTTTTGGCAACGATTTTTTCCATCTCTTAATATCTAAACTGTGCTATAAGACGTGTAATCTGTTTCGGAAAAATATTAATACATTAATTGCGCTAAGTTTAGCGTCATTCTCGACTTCTAACTGAGCCAAGACGAGCTGAGCAAAGTCAATGCTCATTTCGATAATGATTAATTCTTGACACAGTGATCACTTCTTTAGGACTTTTCATGCGCTCAAAAGCAGTCAGTCAGTCATTTGTCTGTTTCTCGAAGTGATTATTCTTTATTCTTCTCTGCGAAGCTCAGTGCGTTGTTAACTTTCTTGCAAGAAGTAAAAAACACAAAAAACACTGAATAATAATTTGACCTTTTTTAAAACTCTCTTTTTATTCATGCACGTAAGCTATCGCCAAGTCAGTAACTTTCATCAAATACCAATTTTCTCTCTATCATTTGACTTTAACGTTGCTTTCGAATTTCGATAAACTAGCTGTGGTATGACATTTTGCTTGCCAAGTATACCAGTTCTACTTGTCTTCTGACTTTGGCTGACCACCAATTTTTTCATAAAATAAAAATAGAACTTCACACTGAAACGATTTAAAATGATCGATTTTGAATAATCTTGGAGGATTTCTTGCTTTTCACGCTTAAAGCACTAATAAATGTAATTTTTTTAAGTTAGTGCATCAAATTTCATAATTATATTTGTAATATATTCAATAATATTTACATGCTATTTGCTTAAAGCAGCAAGATATGACAGCAAATTTGAATTTACCGGTGCTCATTAGTTTATATTACGCCTTAAATAAGTGCCTATAATCTTATCAAAGCAGTATATAACGACGTTTAGTTGACGTTTTCACTTCCTTTGGTATATTTTACTCGATTAGTTCACGTGTAATGAATACGATTTTGCTAATTCTTGACGTAATTGCATTTTTCATCTAATTATTGAAAAATTTGTTGTTCAAAATAATTTATTAAAACGTGAAGTTCAGTTAACATAAAAATGGTATGCAGAAGCGTATGAACTATAAATGATCAACATAATTGATGGTTTTAATACAGAGAAAGAGTAGTGCAGGAATTCAAACTTTAGTTACTTAATCACAACTTTAGTTGTGAAAATCTCCAAGATAAGTTGTAGCAAAAAAAGCAATTAGACATAATGCATCTAACTACAAATTTCTGCAAATTAGACTGTTATTAATTGTAGGGCTTCAATTTTTTTTGCTTTTCCTGCAAGTTAAAAAAAATCCTTAAAAGTGCTTGAAAATTTTCTCTTGAAACCGATTGCTAGAAAAAGTCTCGCCTTCAAAATTATTTAAAGATTTGAATTCACAAAGTATTCAATGCTTATTCTAAAATTGCTTCAGCATATTTAAATATACGACAGCTTGTATTCAAGAGATACGAGGATCAAATGTGCTGTTGATCAGTAATTTGATACAAATGTACTGTAGTTATGAAGACTTTATTTTTCATGGCAATAAGATTTACATAATCTAAATTATAAAGTAAAATACTTTTCATATCTCTCAGCCCTCATTCAGCAATAGTTGATTGATTATTGTTTTGTATTCATAACGAGCATTTTACATGCAATACGTAAAAATGAAAGTAGGAAATGATTATACTATTTATTTAGTAATATTTTTCTTTTTCAATGCAATTTTAAGAAATAAGCAAATTTTGAACAATTCATTCCTTTCGTTCGAACCGATTAAAATTACTTAGTAGAAAGTTAACTTAGTCAAGCAAACAAATTTATGCATGCTTTTAATTGAATTGAGCTTAATAGCGAATTGGCTTAGTTATCTAAATGGCTTCAAAAACTTTGCAAAAACAAATTTTGATCCATCCTTTCAACATTTTTTATTATTCTATCGTTTCAACTAAATCTTCCGTCTCCAATCACTTTTAAATATTCAAGTTGGGGATGTATGGTTGATCGTCAGTCAAGCACACGCCATATTTTAATTTTACTTATTGAATTCGTCTTCTATCGTTTGAGTTTAAGTAACCGTATTTCTTGTTAAGTGCCTAGTAGTTCCACGGTTACTAAAACCAAACTCATTGTTGTAGAAATTTTACAGTACAATTTCAACTTTGCATTATTGTTTTATCGAGAGTAAATTCCATTTCACTTTGCTATATTCATTTCAAATACGCTTAAAAGTAACTGTCATATCAAAATCGAACATAAGCGGTTTCAGTTTTACTTTGTGAAAACCGATAGATTTCTAAAAATGAAATTGCTAAGCTCAAAAGATTACTAATTTAACTGATAAACTTGCCCCTTGCTCATTATTTACTGCTGAAAGTTTTGCATTCTAATTTGGTCATACAGAATTGAAGAATTATCGAAAGTAAGACAAATCAGTCAAGAAAAGTTAGACAAAATTGATAAAGTAAGCTGAAAACGAAAATGGACTCAATGCATTGTAATGGTTCATTTTGTCAGCACTGTTTTCAGTGGTGCGAATTCAGAAATTATTACAACCATCGATGGCGCTATAAACATTGCTGAAAAATCATAATTTTCATAATTTCTCAGAAAGAGATATACCTCAGCACATTTGCCATTTGCCATTTGCCAGTAATGTAATGGCGTAAGCATTTGTGTCAACTTTTCAAAACTATCGAAGATTCAATTATTAATTATTCCATCTAACTAAATTTATTCAGAATTGGGCTCTCTGCATTTCTTTACACTTTTCCATTATTTTGTACGGCACTGTTTTTGGTCGATTGCTTTGTGCTTTTTTTTTTAAATTAATTCTTCGCTTGCTTTTAGGCAATTTGCTGAAGAATAATTGCCGTTTCAATATTAATTGTATTAGCAGATGAATTAAAATGAATTCACTTTTACTTAAATATTGATGAATTATTTTTAGTATAGTCACTTCCTACGTCAACACTTCAATACTCTTCTCTCAGTGCACTGAAAGTTTTTAAAGTTGATCAAAGATTGCAATAGGAACTGTCATCATATCAATAGAATTTTATGATGACAACCAAAATACGTTGAATAATTATTAATATTTGTAGATATGGCGGGAGCAACCCTAAGAGGTCAAAGTAAGATTTCCATTTTGGATTGACGTTTATTGGCCAAAATATTTTCATACAAAACAATTCGCTTGCAAAAATTTTTACGTCTTTAATTCCAAGATTTTAAAAAAATGAGTTGAAATGCAAGTAAGCATAGCATTTGCAGTTACAAAAAAATTGGACTGAAGTCCTTGCCGGCAGTTCTGTGCACAGTAATGTATAGTTCACACACACACACACACACACACACAGATTATTTGTTGTTTAAGAGAAGTGTTTGAGCTAAAATAACTCTTGTCATTTTGTAATTAATTTTTATCAAATATTTCACGTTTATCAGTCGATAACTGCTGCTAAACATAATCTTATCGTACTCGAACGCTAAGTAATTAAAGCGAAAATATGAAGGAAGTAAAAAAGTACGCTCATTTCTGAATTATACTAAAAATCAATCTTGAAAATGAATGCTATACTTCGAGAGTTAAGTGCTCTCACCGACATAAATTTCTTTTACACGCGTCTTGAGAGTCTTTTCAAAGTGAAATAAAGACAACGTTTATTTTTACATCTCGCAAAACTATGCTAATGATCTTAGTTTTTGGTACCTTAGATGTAGCACCTAAGCCTGCCCTTTTAAAGAAAATGTAAAATTGTGTTCAAAAATTTTTTTAATTAAAAAATTTAATTCGTTATGGCTTTCAGTTCGAATTATATTTGAAACAAGGCAATGAAATGTCGATAAATAACCTTCCTTAAAAAATGTGCTTCTAGGAAGTTTACTTGTTGCATCTGAATATCTTGAAAATCGTGTGAAACAAGCAAGCAGTCAACAAAATATGCAAAGAAAGTAACTGAAGCAAACTAACAAATTACGAATAAAAATTAAAGAAATTACATTTGATGGTGTTTCTATAAGTCACTGCTGCATAAATTTTGATTAAAATGTCGATTTTACACTTTATAATTCAACTTTTTAAATAAGAAAAGTAATTCGATATTCAAAGTCTTAATTCGATCATAAATAAGTATTATTTGTTATTAAACTACTTTCATACCATTCTTTTTCATTTCACTGAAATTTCTATTCACTATTTGTTATTGAAACTTTTTTCAACAAAAAATACTTCATTAAGCAAATCTAAGTGCAGCATTGCTTATCGAATGCTTTATATGGTGATAATATGATAATTTGTCGTCAAATGAAATGATGAAAAAGTAATTTGCAGAACCGGTTATTTTATTTTAGATGCAAAATTATTCACAACTCTCATTTCTGGCTTATAAACTTCGACTCGACTTAATTTTTCATTCTTTAAGGTAATTTTTTCATCAGTTGTAGCTTACTTACATTTAACCTTCAGTCTTTTAACTTCTTGCTTAAATTGGAGAATAAGTTGAAGTTGCTGTACACTGAAAATGATTTTTGCAATATTCGCAATCAAATTCGTTTATATTAATAAGAGACTATCACTGAAATGAACTGAAGTCTTAAGAGTAATAATTGAATGAATATGTTTGTGAGATTACACACTGCATCGAGAAGAAACCAAGAAGGCGTCAATAGATAGAAAGTATAATCCCTGTTTGAACTGCGAGAACAGAATGAAAGAGTGAATAATCTGTCTGAAAATTTCTGTCCAACTTCAATAATTCCTTAATGCTTAACAGCAGCGACTTTATTCTCAAAAAAATTGTGCGCTTTCGTTGCAATGTCAAAACATTCTTTTAATCACACTTTCTGCTTACTAATCAGTCCTTTCTTGAATCTTTACTTTATACTCAAAATTCTGAAGAATTTCTGACAGTCTTTTTCTATAGCAGAAATTGTTAATTAGCTGATGCTTTCAAATCTTTTGAACGGCAGTCCAAATTCATAAATAGCTTGCAAATGAGTACAAGAATATGTTTTTGCTAAAATCACACGGCATGTATGAGATGTGAAAGAATTCTGCTAAATAATTCAAAATCCAAATGCATTTTATCAGAGAAGTTAAAAAATTACAAAGCAACGCGTTGCAAATTATAAAGATCAACATTTTGAGTGCTTTGTACGGCATTAAGATTAGAGTTTTGTAGATTAAATGCTGGAAGTGACAAATTTTTCGAAATGGCGAACCAAACATGTAATAGACTGACTGATTGATAACTATGATCTGTACCTTATCAGAAGTGCGATAAGCTCTTATGGGGATATGATAATATTTTTTGAAGAGTTTTTACTGAAAGTAAAGTATTTCAGATATTTAAATGAGATTGCTGTGTACTTTTGCCTTCTAAGCGTTGACTTAGCAGTTTTTAAAAAGATATGCACTCAATCATTTCGTGTTTAGTTTTATCTTTTTTCGCACACTTTCATTTCTCACTTTTCTGAGCATTTTCAAGTAATTATTAGAAATGTAATCGTTACAATTGTGTTGAAAGTTTCAATTTGAGTTCCGAACACCCAATAAGCAAAAGACTGTTGACTCAGTAATGGAAATAATCGTAGTCAGATAGGTTAAAGTGCAAGAAATGCAGTAAATAACAGGTAGTAGTAGTGATATGGAAGAATGGATGATAATGATAATCATGAGGCGCTGCTCAGTTCTCCACTGCTGACAAACAAGCCTATCTGTCCGAGATTGGTCACCAAAGATGGTCGCAGTATTTTACGTCAAGTTGGAGTGCCACACCATTACCAGTCCATTTATAAGTAACTTACAGTTACTGTTAATCTTAATTATTAGTTTTTAGACAAAAATTGATAACTTAATGTTTAACTTTTCTGCAGTTTTGTTGACGCGAATCAAAATTAAATTTTTTAGCGAAAGTTGAGTTGCTTACAAAATTGTGGCTTGTAATTTAGATTAATTAATATACGGCTGTTATTCGATATCAGCAAGAAGAAACATTTTACTAAAATTGTCAGTTATTCGAAATAACTCAAATGATATCAGCTGCAATAGGTGCATAAGTTACTTTTGGAAAGTTTTTGAAATGATTACTGATCACTTCATAAATATTTATTATTAATTATTTGCTTTCAGAAATTGGTTCCATCTCGTGATCGAGTGCTCATGGCATGTAATTTTATGTGTTTTCGCCAGTGGATTTATTCTCTCCTGGATCACTTTTGCATTAATTTATTACACTTCTAATGTTTTATCCAGTGAAAGTCATGTAAGTTATCTTAAAAACTTTTAAAATTGAATGCTTCAATTAATGAGTCCACACTGAGTTTTTAATGAGCAAAAACTTTCCTTTAAAAAATATTAAAAGTTTGCGAGAATTTCCTCACAAATTTAGGAAAATACACTTATGTTCAATGTATTTGCCAAAGAAATTCATCGTGTTTGCTTGAAAAAAGAGAAAAATATTGTAATTAAATATTCCATCGAGTGATATTTTATGCACGCCTTTTATTTAATGAGTGAAAATGGAATCAATGTTTTTTCTACATATTTTATGATAAAAGTTTGTACTCTTCTCATTTCAGAATTCATGTCAAAACATCAAATTTGAAATGAATAAAAAATTTAAGACCTTCAAAGTACGATCCCAATTTTTAGTACACTTAGCATTACTAAAAGTTTGAAAAGTGTTTCCTTTAAACTTTCACATTTTTCCACTTCAAAAATTGTGAAAACAAATTGATTTATGTAATTTACAGCAATTTTACCACATAATTTCATCTAATATCACTGCACATATTCAGCGATTAGACCAAATAAAAATGGTTATGATTATTTAGTCTAATGATCATAACTTATATAAAGTTAAACTGTGAGTTAGATTATTTCCAAGCTACAATTTAAATATAACTTACACTTCACTTCATTTATCGCTTTTCGCACCTTCATGACAAATTAGTCAGAATCTCTTCCATTTTCTAGTCCATACTTATAAAGAACAAGCTTTCTCGAAGGATCTGACTAGAACTAAGGATCTGACTAGAACTACCCTTTAATAGATATCTGTTTTTGCAGCAAAATTTAAAAAATGCAATCAGCAATTTTTCGGTGCTAAATTGAAAATATTGTGAAACGTAATGCGAGTGAACAAATCTTAGTCTTTCAATTTAAATGGAATTGAATAACAGAAATTTGTATTATCTATTCTGTGCTTTTGAAGTTAAGTCCTATGGCTCTTTTAAAACAATCATTCTTGTTTTACTGCCTTCAAGCAAATTCGCTATGCAAAGTTTTATCTTGTAAGCCTCCATCACCTAAACTTTTCACTTTCTCCGTACTTAAAAAAAAGAGTGATTTTCGCAGAATTTTTGATAGTTTATTAATTACACAGAAAAGGAAGCCACTTTTCTGGATGGGTTCTCACTTGGGAGAAGTATGGTTTTTGTTTCAAATTATTCTGAGTAAATGATGGATGTTCTGATGTTGATAAATTTCTCACCATTCATATATCGCTCCTTAATTTTGCTACCAAATCAAAGTTTGGTGTAAAATAAAATCAGTACACACTAATAATCGTATTGACCATAAAATTATTTAGAAAAAAGTCGAGAATGAACGTTGCATCGCAAACGTTTACGATCTCAAAAGCGCTTTTTTATTCAGGTGACTCTTTGATACCATTTGCGTTAAAATCAATTTTGCCGAATTAATGAGATTCAATAATTTCAACCTGAAAAGTTTTCTAATAATTGAATTGTTGTTTCAGTTTGGAAACACAGCACACAATTGGTTACGGATTCCGGTTAATGCTTTAATGCTTTCTATCTTTTTAACTGCTGAATTATTGAATCAGTGAAGCGAGAGAAACTTGTAGATTTATTAAAGTTTTATTCAGAAAGTGCGAATCAATCAGTGTGAAATTTAATTATTGCATTCAAATTGCGCTGTTTTGTTTTTAAATATTAACATTGAAGAAAATCAGAAGGCTTTAAATCATTTACGCTAAATAGTTTGAAAGCGAGAAACACCTTTGTAGAAATATTCATACTTACTATTTCTTATATCATTTCTGTCGAATCACGTAGTTGCATAGTGCAAGACAGAATTTAAATCAATGATTCAGCCATATTAGCAAATTAAATTGAAGATTTAAAGGGACACAAATCATTCAATAGTTGCCCAATTGAGGCACTCAGATTACACGCTAAATTTAAGCGTTTCAGATATATGACAGATACTTGTCTACCAATGCTGTTTGTGTTGTCACTGCAGTGTGTGGCAGGTGTTTTTTTGCAGACACTATTAGGCGGAATTGTAATTGCTAAAGTTTTACGTCCGAAAAAACGAAAACAGGTCAACTTTTGTAGTCTCAAATTTATTTCACACTTTTTTTTCTCTTCAGGTTGTATTGAAATACTTGAGAGCACTTTTTTGCATACGTTACAGGAGTGAAAGTTATGTCGAAGTGATAGTGATGCATTCATTATATTGAGCAGGCAAATAAATACTTTGAGATAGTTTGAAAGTGACAGTGCAAGCAATGTATTATTCCACTGCGTACACTTTATTAGTGAAGTAGAAATTTAAGAGCAATCCGAACATTATCATAGAGTGATTTTACTTTGTTTTATTTTATGTTATTCATTTCCTCTGCTTAAAATGATTTTTTGTGCTTTTCAAAGTAAGCTTCTCTGAAAATCCTGAAAAAACTCATTCTTCAAAGTTTTATGTACTAATAAATAGCTTTAAATGAATGAAATTTTATTTCATTCAGTATTTTTGTAGCATTTGTGGACACGTTTCTGTGATTAATTCTCAATATTCAATGAATCTTTTGAGCGAATTTTTTGCACAGTTCGAAATGTTTTGAGAATAAATATGCTAATTTATTTTCAGGCATTGAGATTTTCTCAGGTAGCTGTGATAGGACCGATAAATGAAACAGATAGAAGGCCTGCTTTAATGATACGAGTGGCGGACGTTCAAAATAATTTATACATCGCTGAACCACATGTTCGATTATACATGGCGATTTCAAGGATAAATAAAGTAAGTGTTATAACGTGGGAATCTAACTTTAATTCAGTCCAAAGCAAAGAAATTTAGTCAAAAAATATTATTGTTCATCTCTAACAATTATTGACAGAATATTTAGATTGCATTTTGTATCTGGCATTCATGTCGATCTAATTCAGAAGCATATTCATTAAAATCTCTTTCCATCTGAAATATAAAATATCTGTGATTTAGAAAGGTGAACGGGAATTGGCTGACTTCAAAGATATGAACGTTGGTTACGATAATGGCTGGGATCGTGTACTTTTATTATGGTTAGTTGAAGCTACTAATTTTTTTCTGATATTTTTTACAAAAGTTTCTTATCGTTTCAAAGTTTACATTTGCAATAAACAAAGCACCAATTCTAAAAGTTATATAGAGTAAGTTGTGGAGTGAAAACTGTTTTTTCAAAGCTGATAAAAGTATTTTTATTGAAATTAACTGCGCAGATATTTCAAACCATTTTCATTTCACTGAATTGCAGAATTAAATCATTCAAAAGAATGAAGAAGTTTTCAGCCCCATAATCGTCAGGCATTTAATTGACAAGCAAAGTCCATTATTTGCAATAACGCCTGATTCCTTGCATAGTGCTCATTTTGAGTTGATTCTGATTGTTGAAGGAATTGTAGAAGCTACTGGCATGACATTTCAAGCGAGAACTTCATTTTTGGCAAATGAAATACTTTGGGGATACAGGTGCATTCTATTCCTCAGGTCATGACAAGATTAAGATAATGTAAAAATTAGACTTGACGTTGAAAGATTTATGAAAGCAGCCGAGTGACATCGAATGATCTTAGATAAAAATGTCTAAAAATAAGAATAAGCATATTCTTCAATAAAGTAAACTTGCGGTTTTGAATTTGGATAATTCAATTGCTAGTCGAAAGCAATTAAATTCTTCAAAAATCTAATCAGTGATATACTATTATAGAAGCACTAACAAGTTCTTAAGAAAAAATTTCTTTTTCAGTTTCTTTATTCTGTCAACAATTTATCAAAAGCTGTTTAAAAACTTTAGATTCTGTCCGATGGTAGTGTTAAACGAAAAAATTGGCAGGTACGAAATACGTTACAAACTATTTGATGAAACAGAATCTATCGATGAAATTAACTTCAAGATGATTGATATGAATAGTGAAAATGAATATGGTTCATCACAGAACATATCTGGTTTCATCTGATAGACCTTCAGTCTCATCTAATATTAAGCAATAATATTAGCAATTTTCAGATGATTGTTTTAGATTTTTCAGCTCAATTAACAAAAGGATTACTAAAATTCTTTGGGTTTGTCTTGATATATTTTCAAACTTGTTTGATGAGCTATATATTTCTGCTCCAAATATCAGTAGGAATCAATTGCACCGTTTATGTCACTTTCGATATCAGAGTATCAACTCGACCAATTTTAGTTCGTAATTTATTCTTGGAGAAATCTGCACGTTTTCTTCCATTCATATGTTGTTCTTTCTGTTCCAAAAATGTTTTTACTTGCTTTTATTAAAATGACGTGCAATAATATTTACGTGTGATATGCTTTTTTTACTAATCTCATTTTTGGTTTACTCACTGACTGAACGCAAATTCTATAAATTTGATTTTATTTTCTGAATTTGAGTTTACGGTATGAAATTAAAGAAGTATAAGCGTTGAAGTCATGAGAAATCCAAATATAATTTATTGAATAACTTGTTCAGATATCATTTTTTGTGACAGGTATTAAAACAAAGTTATAACTTCCAATTTTTGCACAACAAATTGAAGGCAGCGAATTTTTAAAATGCATACAACCAATCAACTTCGTCGAAAAAATAAACGACTTTGTTGACGAGATTCATTTTTTAATAAATACATTAAAAAATTGCATCCAAATCTTCATATTTTTCAAAAATACGACTTAGGACCTTAAAGGTCAAACAGATAATCAAGTCTGAAATCTGTGAACACACTCATCCTTCTTTATGTTTGAAGGGATAAAATTTTTCAAGCAATCTGGAGTAGCTTTGAGCTTTATATCACACTTTCTGCTTTCTTTGCCTCAGTAATAATCGGAAATAAGCCTAGCATAGTTTAGCGAAGTTTGCACTGCAAAATTTACTTACTCTATCCTTCAGAGTATACTACTTTCATTAAACTTTTTCTTAAACTTTCAGCGGTTTTAGTGTCATTGTTCTAGCTTGCCACTATATTTAAGTTGCTAGGCTTGTTTTAAATATCAGTCAGCATTTGTAGAACAGAAATTCCTCATCAAGTAATGGAAAGTTTGAAAATGATGAAGAAAAGTACAGCCAAATATCTTTCTATTCCAAGACGGATAACAAATAGAGCAAAATAAAATGCATGCAGTATTCAACGAAGGAAAATTCTTCCGACCAGGCAAAAAAGTGACTCAGTTCTGAGCAAAAAATCATTTTATAATGCGTTCCACAATATTTTAAAAAATCACTACAGTATCATTGAAGAATTGTAAGCTATTAGCTTTGTCAAAAGCAAATTTCATTTGGTATTTCAGTAAGCTTAAAAAATTACGTAGAGAAAAATCTTACGGAATTATTTGAAAGTAAAACGCCATTTTCCTCAGACTGCCTTTGAAATGTATTTGTATGCATTTTTGCACATTACAACAAGTACATTGCTAGCTTCGAAACTCAAACACGAACGAGAAACTGTTGGAAACTGTACTTAAAACTTTAGAGATAAATGCCAAACCATATTTGGCATTCATCTCTAGAGCTTTCATCGAAACTTGCATCTCGATATTTCACAAAAGCAATGTGTTTTTCATCAGCATCTTCTTGACTTTTAACTTCTGCTTCCAAAAATTTTAAGCTTTCAAGCCGAATTCTTCCGAAATTTGATATTCTACAACGCATTAAATGAACTGGCTACAAATGCATTTTTTTTCACAATTTTTCACTTTACAGCTGAAATTATAATTTTTCCCGTCGCCATTTATTCCATTTTTTAGCATAATACTTGGCGATTTCCATTGGTATCGGAATAACAATTGTTGAGTTGTGCTCGGAAGCTACGTTTATTAAAGTCTGTAAATACCGAAGTTGCAGTGAAACGGTGCTGGAGTTCATTGTTGACGCTGCTTCTGCCAATGACCTGATGATAATGCATGAAAATATTTAAAAAAAATTAAGACAATAATTTAATTATTATTTTGTAACAGTGACATAGTATTTTTGAATATATTATCAAAAATTTCCTTTATTATACAAAATAATAAATCATTATCGTTTCTTTATCACTTTTAAAAGTATGAAAATAATAAAGAAAGTTATGAAAGAAAGCAAAGTCAAATAATAATTGGAAATTGGGATTGGCGCTCAAAACTCACAACATATCACAAATTATGTACAAATATTATATTAATTCAAGTACCATGAAGCCTTCCTCTCTCCATCAGCTTGGATAACAAGAGATCGAGCATCCCGCGCAGCTTCAGCTTCCGCAGCCATCGACCGCATTAACTGATGCGGTAAGCGAATATCTTTGATTTCAACCCTTTGAACTTGAACTCCCCACGGATCTGTGCCTTCCTCTAAGACTTGCTCTATTACCTAGAAATTGGCATATTAAATCATCTCTCACTATCTAAACATCTTCTGATGTCAGAAATAGGCAAAATGTTTGAAGGACAAATATCAGTCAGTCAGTATTACTAATAATAGCAAGTGCTGCTTTGATCAACACTGATAAAACCAGCTTTTGGAACAAACTCTGCTTTAATTTTATTATTCTTAAACAAGGAATAACTGATATAAATCAAGATTGATTTGAATGGATTTGTTTATTATAATGACAATGATTTTTTCTAACATTACGTAAAAATATTAATTAAAATGCGTTTTACAAAAACACTGCAATGACTAGGCAAAATGAGCAAACATTGGCAATACTGTCTCGTTCACTAAGCATTTCACTGAGAGTTCGAGTTCCAAGCACATTTCTGAGAGTTGTCTGAGCCAAAAGTTTAGTGCTAAATTGCGCATCGTTTACATTAGTCACAGAAATAACAGGATTGTTAATGCGGAAGTAAATGACAGCATCCACGGAAACGGTTACGGAGTCACGGCTGAGTATTTCCTGAGGTGGCACGTCGAATGACAGCACTCGTAGATCCACCTTTTTTTTAATTTATGGTCATTCATCTTAAGAGATACTTTTAAACAATAAATTATTTATTTACTGACTTATTTACTTTGCTCTCAAATTATTCAGTAATTATAGGAGGAGAAAAGTGCATCTCAAAGCAGTCGGGAAATTTTTCATACATATTTAATAAGAATTAACAGCAAAGAACAAGTTAGGCATAATTTGTTTTCTTAATTATAACATTTATGAATAATTGAAAAATATAATTATTAGATAGTAATTTGTATGGGATTGATTAAAAAACGTGAAAGCAAATTTCAAAAAATTTGCTTAGAAATAAGTGAATATTAAAAACACTTGGAATTGTGATCTAAAATTGAACTGAGCAATAATTACAATTCGACAAGTATCGATGCAAGGTACGATGAAAAATAGTCCTGGTCCCTTAGTCCCGCTGTTGATAAGGCGTCCAAGTCTCATAACAACTGCTCGTTCGTATTCTCTATAAAACGATTAGTCCTCACTCGAGCATTGATAATTTATGCAAATTTCTACTGATATTTTTATAAAGGTGGCAATTGGTCAAAAATAGAAAGTGCGTTAAATTGGTTGCCTATGGTTTTCTATTATAAATTCGTTAGCTTTAACAACGCAAGGCACATCAATTTTTTTTACCTAAATAACAATTTTATACTACGTTCAAGCTACCTAACTTGTCGGCTTAAATTGAAAAATGTTTAAAAATTGGAAACTGAGCACAAGCAATTTTAACTATTATTTTCGTGTTATTCTGAAGTATATTTCGCTGTTCATTAAATAATCAGAAAAAGTTTACCTAATAACTTTTAAACAAAACGGTAGGCAAAACGGGAAAGTTATCACAATAAGTACTATTGATAAGATATAAAGGCACAGGGATATAAATGGCGTTTTCCCCTGAAAATTTAAATGTTTAGCTCAAATTAACTCCAAAACGATTTCACCAAAATAATTAACTAAAAGTGAATCAGGCTGGCTATGACCCGGCTACATAACCAAACTTAAAGCTTTAGAAAAATAAAAGCATCGACCAAACATTAGTGCTAATGAAGACTTTTTACTTTGTAGCAAATTTTTCATGGTCACAGTCAATATTCGACCAAACTGTTATCAATACTTTGTTGACCAAAATGATTAATCACTTCCAATTTTGTTTGAATGTACGTCAATATGAATTAGAACATCTTGATTTTATAAATAGTGCCTAAAGGCTACATGAACAATAAACATATTAAATAGATTTTCAGTTTTGGTCACCATTTTCACAACTTTCAACCGTGTAAAACTTATTTAAAGGATTGAACCGACCTTATTTTCATCAAGCATAAGACGGGTTCTAATTAGCCAACTCTGAGACCGAGCTCGCATTGGTATTTTTTCGATCACGCTCTGAATATCCATAAGTAATGTCAATACGCATATTAAGAATAAAGATAAAGAATCAAATAAGAAGTTAAAATACTGATCATAAGCAGGCTGTTATAATAGCAGTAGTGACAACAAAGTACGCTTCATAACATAATTAATCCAATTCATTTTTCAATTTTAGAAGTTAAAAAAAATCAAAAAAAAGTAAACTATGACAAAAGTTAAGCCGGACTGGAAGGTTCCAACTTTTTCTGTATTTCCATTTCCACAGATTAGAAAAATGAATTACTCTATACAGCAAAATCTGGTTTAAAAATGTGAATTAAATTGAGATTTGTAAATATATACTCGGAATTTTTCTGGAGAATATTGCTAGCCTTTAGAGTGAAAAAGTAGCAATAATTTTAAACTTGATCCCAAATGAGAATTCGAGCGATAATTTGATCATTGCTTACAAGCATTTGCTTCAATCTCTATTTTCATGGCCAACTGCAGACTGTTAGCTCTTTCTAAATATAAACATTTTTGAAAATTTTGTTCTATTTTTGTAAATTTGAGTATGCCATATTTTCAATCATTCTTTCTTTCACATTATGACTATTGATATTGCTGTTTTTCAATAGCTCAGTTCACTTGTGTGCAGCTCTAAGCATTATGCAAAAAATCGAAATAGCGCTCATAAATATTAACAAAGCGAATCCTATCAATTGGAACAAAATTTCTGAACACCTCTGAGAATTTTGGAAAAACAAAGCAGGGGCTCTCGGGAGAGCGTTTGATGAAAAATTATCTCACACTTGATTAGCTTATATATTTATGGAAAAATAGTGCAAAATTAGCGATTGCAAACTGTAAACTGATTAACGACAGCTATTAATTATTGAGTGATAAAGTAGCGTGAGAGAAAGTGAATATTATGGTAGACATTGAGAATTTAGGATGTTCTCCTCGTGGGTAGAACTTAGAGGTAGAACTTAGAACAGAACCTTAGGGTGTTGACTGCGTGTTTTATGCTTTTGACTAAAATCAAAATTCTTCAGAAGTAAGTCAACTCAGCTTGGAATCAATCAGAAAAGTTGCAGAGAATAAAATTATGGATTTCATTAGCAAAAGAGAAGCCGGCAGTTTTTGCGTTGAAAAAATGCTCTACTCATAAATTCTGAAACGAGTTGGTTGTATGATGCTATTTTATAGAGTTCGTAAAAGTTGTTTTTCTCCAATTCCAAATTTGCTTCAATTCATTCTCTTTAGAGCACTTTTAAGAAGCGAACTTGGCTATTGTCATTTTTTAAGTTTAAAAAATGATAAATTTCATTAAGCACAATTTAAAGTAATGTTGGCATGATTTATTCAACATGCAAATTAAAGTTTTTCATCACAAAATTTCTGTTTGTTTCAAAGTATTAAATTTATAAGAGAAACCTTCGAAGAAATTTCCAATTCTTCAAAGGTAAAATGCCAGACTTGAAGCTAACAGCTTTTACATTTCATTAGAATATTCATTATTGGTACTGAGATTCAAAGCAAGACTCGGATTCCCGTGATGTTATTAGTATTTGAAGTGATCCAGCTGTTTTTGGAACAAAATTAATTTTGCGATTATAACATGGAAACTAATCATGTATACAACAAATACTTTTACTTCGAAACATGCAAATGTCAAGAAACAGAGATAAGAATCATGATAATACGATGACAATCTGAATACATTTTTGTCTTCATTAATTGCTCAGAATTTTGTTCAGGTGGAAACCGTGTAACATACATCAAACTGTCCACTGGATATTTATCAGAAACTGATTATTCAAGCTTTGATTTTCTCATAAACTTACAGATATATCTTTCCATCTATACAGCATTCCTGTAATGCGAATTACCGTCTCACGTGGCTGTGATGGTGAATGAGTGAGCTTTGTGTGATTAAGCACTCTATCAATGCTTCAAATTTGAAACTTACAAAAACACGAAATATAAGCCAAAAAAACAGGCAGAATGATAACAGATAGGGAATTTTCGGATGAAATTGGTCAAGTTAGTTTGCTAACAAATCTTTGCTCTATTCTTTACTCTAATCTTACGAACAAGATGGAAAGAAACTGCTCAGTAATATGTTTCGTAGAGAAACAATTTTTCATTTTTCTTTAGATCAAAAATGCATACTTCTTCGAGAATCAAGCAGGAACGTCTCAGAAACCTTTCTAAATCTCTGCTCCCAAACAATGAGCAGCTCATTTGCCTTTTAATTTCGAAGGTAGTCGATGTTTGTCAGATTAAATTTGTTTGACTTTGTAACAACGTCCAATTCAAACGTAACTGATTAATTACAACGCGCTAATTCAATCATAAATTCTTTGCTGATAAGTAGGTAAGCTGAATTTACTCTTTCTCTATATCAAGATTAAATATTTTCTAAATATGAAGCTTTAGGATGAAGCGGAAAAATCAATAAACGTTAATTTTTATAAAAACAACAATTTCTGGAAAGCATTGTAAAAATAACATTTTTTGTTATTTCTGGAAAACGTTTCCGAAGCACAAATTTGAAAGCCAAAATGAAATCATTGTCGAAATTAAATAAATGTCTGCTCATATCCAATATCTTCTACTTTTCAATAATTCGTATAATTCTTTATTATAAAGAGATTGTCGAAATTGAAGCCATAAATTACGCATCAATACTAAAAATAGATCTATGGGATTTGCATTTTAATGCAGCCAAGAAGCAGATTTTAATTTAATTTTATATTTTGTTTGCGATTCAAATGAGAAATGCAATTTTCTCATTACATCCAGAAGTTATTAATTATCGAGGTGAGATAAAGCTGAAACAGCTTGGAAACTAAAAATGAAATAAGAAATGACTTGTAATATCAAAGTCTAAACCTGTACTCTCCTGATTTTTGTAGTGAAATACCTTTTTATGAGGTTTCGGTTCGAGTTTTGTTAGACCAGTTTCAAATGGTGTCGGAACGGAAAGAAGTCCAGGATCTGATTTGAAAGCTTGAGAAAATGAACTTGAACTTGAAGATGATCCTGATGTAGATCTCGAGCTCATAGATCTTGATGTTGAGTTACCTGCGTTCGTATATGTTTCTGACATAATTGTATGCGTACGTTTCATAAATCTTTCTTGTCGATTCATTGTTGGAATCATCGTAGCCACTACCCTAAAAAAAACAGAAATAAAATTATTTTACGGAAATACAAATGTGTGATAGTGCAAACAAATGTCTTGAAAACAGCTTTTTTAAAATTGAACTATGAATATATCAGCTTGACATTTAAATGCTATCAAATGCAAGCAACTAGGATCATAATTTTCAAACTAATAATCATGCATAATAGGCAACTTTTTGTGAATAATGCAAATGACTTCATTAAGTGTAGGAAAAGTTTTTAACTGAAATTGAGTTCACAGTTTAGCAAAGTTGGACTGAATCCCTCCATTCAATGATAGGAAAAATTTGAATTACAGGTACTTTCATATATTTATATTGCCATTTATATAATAAAGCACTAAAACAGCTAAAAAATATAAATTATTAAAAATAAAAGCATAAAGAAATAAAAGCAACAAAAAACGAAGACAAAAGCAAAGTTTGACAAAGAGACAAAAGGAGTATTCAGGACGGAAGTATTCTTTCTTCGCACCCTCGAGATTGAGAAGCTACACTTACTCCCCAAGACTTCTCCATCATTTATTTTTTGTTTTGAAAATAAGATCAGTTACAGCACTGTTTAATTTGCCTGACTAATAAATATCCACTACTTATTAACTATAATTAATTAATTAATTAACTTACAAATATGAAATATGATATATTCCTGCCAAGTATTTAATGAAATGCATAGTTCTCCCAAGAAATTTTGGTAGTTTTCAGAGGAACAAAGTTGTTATTTTCCATTTTTGAACTTTTAGTTAATTTTAGTAAATGTTTAAATTATTGCTAGAAATACTTTTTTTCTGAACTGAATCGAATATTTTCATCCATTTACCCTTGAATAGCAATGAAAAAAAGAGTCATTCATTATTACGCTCCTAAAATTTGAAAAAATGAGTGCACACAGCAATTTTTCATCATTATCATATTGTCAAAGCACTTTGTAATCATATTATTAAATTTAGTAATTAACAAGCATTAATACAATCTTTTTGTTCAGTATTACATATAGTACGGTTGAATGCTTATTAGAAGTGACTTTTGATTCAGCATCATGAATGCATACTGTGCGTGTAATGAAAGTGAGTTTGTGCGCTTGTTTGACACGAAATAAAAAAGCGTAGTAGATGATTAGATCGGAAATAATAATGCAATATCTGAGGATTAACTTCTGCTCTAAAATTTACTGTGCAAGAAGGCCATATATTTTAATTTTCTGAGAAGTAAAAAGTGAAGAGATGAGAAAAAATTTATTATAAGTGATTTATCTGCGCAACCTAAACTAAATGAACCTTCCTTAACATTTTTTGTAAAATTAAAGTTAAACAGATTTTCTTATTATGTTATTTTTGGCTACTATAAAGTTCATAGGAGTTCATGGGAGTCAGAATGAAATTTCTGTAACACTGGTAGTGTAAATAAGACTTAAAATTTTAATTCTAAATTCTTAGGCGATCTTTTGATTCCATAATTCAAATTGATCATATCTGATCATATTTGTCAGTTGGTAAATTGTTTTCAATTTAGATTATAGACAGATATTATTAATATGAAAACAAACTTCAATCGCAATTACTAAAAATGAATTTTAAAAAAATAATAAATAATAATAATTCAAATTAGAGTAGTATATCAACTGAATCAGAAATAAAAGTAAGCGTCGACAAAATGAAGCAATAAAAAGTGAAGTGAAGTGAAGTGAAGTGAAGTAGTGAATGAATGAGAGCAATACTTTGCCTACGCCACCCGCCCAGAACATCTTGAAAACAGTCGCTTACTCAAACCTCTTCGAGCAACATTCCGCCTTCCAATTAATAAGAATATAATACTTATCAATCATCTTTAACTTTACTTATTCACTCATTCATTCCATCTATCGAACAATCTTAAGTTTACTTACGCTCTTACTCACTTACTTTTTATTTATAGCAACTTCAAATCATCACTGCTCTACCACATCAACTTCCTACTCTGAGATGCTTCAAAAAATCGCCTTGTATTTGCTTATAATAATAGTCTTTCTATCTTACATCAATTATTTATTCGTAAAATTTCGTTTTTCACTGCAAACTTCTGCTCGATAACAGTTGCAAAATATTTATTGCTCAGTCATCTGTTCTTCACCTCAGTAATAATCTTGAAAACACTGATTAAAAGCTCACACTGACATTATGCAATGTCAACTTTTTATGCAAATATTTGCAGAATAAATAATGAATTCTTATTAATGTTCGGAAAGTACTGTGTTGTCCAATATGAAAGAAATTTCATTTCTTACAATACAAAATAACAATAATAATAATAATAATAATAATAATAATAATAATAACGATAATGATAATAATAATATTAATAGCGATAATTATAATCGTTTTGAAAGAAATCGGAAGTTCCAATTAATAATTATGATTAGGTCCAAGTATCATGTTGCCTTGATTTCATGCTTGCGATCATAGCATATTTATTAATAAATCTATTTTCATTGCTATTGTACTAATTATTATCAACCAGCCAAATAACACAAATTTTGCGTTTTGCAAAAATGTTCTGGAAGTACTGTTTGCATGCTTGTTAAATTTCCTTTTGCAACTTGTGCTTAACTGCTGTTCTCTTGAGCCCATTCTGATAGTAAAAATAATTTAATCAAAAATTAGTATAATTCCTTTTCAATTGCAATTTCACTTTCTTGATTCATGCAGTGAACTAAAACTAGTTGTAGATACAGACCAACTGGATGCTTGTTCAAGTTGATCAGCGATCTATCCATCAACACCATTTGCTTCTCAATGTTTCTGAAAATTTTGAATTTTTGAACAAAAAAATGAGCAGTTTTAGTACACAAATTGAGTTCGCCATTGCAGCCTTTTTACCGAAAGTCTCATATTTTAAAAGAGAGTGAAGAAAGAAAAGAAAAAAATTAACAAAATCTTTTAGCAACATTTTACAACGTACATAAAATGACTTCTTGATAGCATTAAATTACGATCATTATAAATGATCAGTTTTGCAATCAAATGAAAATAGACATAAAATCTTTGATTCATTCCATCTCAAATGAGATCTTATAATTCAAATAAGCTTGACATCAGACCACTCCATTCCCCATCTCCCGCCTTTAAAAAACATATTTGCTAGCTGCGACTGTTTTTTGAACAGAGTGCTTGCTTTCCGAAGAACTGTATTGCAATGAACGCTTACTTCTACAACTTTTATTGAGTTAAAGATTGCTTTATTAATCGGCATTTTCTATCTGACTAATTTAATAACATGAATCTAACATATTCTGCGAGTGACTTCAACTGTGAATAATTCACAACATTTCGTATTCTAGCAACAACAAGAGAACAGCAAAAAAAGTCAAAGGACATGTTCAATCATTTAAAACAAGCAAAAGGTGAAACGGTACTTCAAATCATTTGATCTGTTTGCAAGAGGATTTTATTATTGTGCCATATTTTTCAGAGAAAATTCACGCTTCACACTTCGTCAATCATATTCTCAAAATCTGAGAACAGATAAATACATTTTATCACTACTTCAAGCGAGAAATTAGTATAAAAATAGACAAGTTACTAGAAAATTCAAATATAATGAGTCGAAATTTTGCACAATTAATCAGATGTCAAAAGTCAATTCTCTTTCTCTACTTTGAAATGACAGCATACATCTTTTAACAGCAGTTAGATACAAATAGAGGAAACTATAAACAAACAAAAATTTCCTCAGGTCTAACATATGAAATGAATTATTCATGGAATTTGCGAGTCAAACAAAATTCATAACCATGGATTTCGTATTTATTCTGAAAAGTATTAAGATGAGATAGAGTAAAAGTGTAACATTATTTTTAGCATGAATGACTACATGTAATAATACTGAATAAGAAAATTGATTCTCAACGAAGAATGTAAGCAGCGCTGAAGGATAAAATGAGAACCGCACTAAATAAAAACTGATTTAGATTTAGAAAGAAATTTATTGATCACTTAAAAAATTAATAAATAAGTTTGTTAAAGCAACTACAGGCTAAAGAAAATTAAAAGCGGAAGAATATGCAGTACCAGAACGTGGTCAGATGTCCTACAGGGACAGTCATTATGTAAATTATGATTTCATTAATCAAAAATGCTGTAGTTTATTGCTGCGATAATGGATAAATACAGAAGACCTTAATTCAGAATCTTCTGACTGCCTACTAGCAACAGTTAACAAGGATTTTGGCCTAATAAATTCAGCGTTAATGACACATATTTAACAGAATTAAAACAGACTTAATCGAAATAACTAATAAACTTCAGCGATTTAATAACACGGATCCTTGAGCTTCATTCTGTATTAACTGGAGTTCATGAAACCGTAATGAAACTCTCTGAGTCATTTTCAAGAACTTGTCGAGACAATTTACAGAGCATTGTTCTTCGGTATTACTAACTGTTCTGAAATATATTTAAAAATACCTTCACAAGTCTTAACTCCTAGCAGATACTGAATAAGGTAAAACAATTGAAGCCTAATACTTTGCGACACTATAAATTTTGCAGTTCTTCCCTTGATCACAACTCTGCTAAAACAGCAGATAAACATTAAGATCGGCAAGTTGTAACAAATAATTCAAAATCTCAACGTGACTTCTTGACTGGTTCAAAGTATTTACCTTTTAGTGAAATCTGTCACACAAGAAATGAAGCACTGTTCGGCTACTACATTATACTGTGCTAAAAAATCTCTGAATGTTTTTAGATCTGTCTCAGTTGCATGATCGGAAATACTTGTCGCATTCTCAGAGTTACTCATGGCTAGAAGAAACCACCTAATTATAATCACAGTTAATGATAAAATAATCTGAAATGCAACAATCTTCCATTTAAATTCTAACTTCATTTTTGGCGCTATTTATATTTAGCGCGTATTGTGAAACTTAAATCAAAATTCAAAACGACTACTAAGCCATTCTCACTATAAATTATAATTCCCCGAGAATTCATATAAATTAGGACACCATTAGTCATGTCAAGATTCAAAAAACATAAAATCAATAAAAATTAAGCTTTGATTTTGCAAAGTAATTGGTGAACAACCATAATTTTGCGTAATGAACTCTATACAAGCTGATTTAATAACAAATATACGAGAAATACTATCAATGTGATTGTATACTGAGATGGAAAACAAAGACACGAGTTGAAACGAAAACTGAGATGATTGATGAAACACAATGATTTTTGCTGCACAACTAACTGATCTTATACATATTTGAGAGAATAAAATGCTAGTTTTAAAATATAAGATCATCCAAATTTCAGCCATAGATAGATCTGATCATTCAAAATGATCTTAGTATTGCTTCGGCAGCATCCAGCACTTCATCAGACTGAAAAAAAAAATGTTGGCTTTCAAATAAAATGAAAATGGATAACTTTCAACATAAACCACCTCAATTACAAATCCCTCTTTTTACGACAGTTCAAATCCTAATAATATATATTATAAACATTACTGAGTTAATGAATGAAATAAAATAAAGATTCGAAAATGATTCGTGCGATAAATTCATATGATAGATAAATTCTTGTAATTAGTGAAAGAAGAAGAATCTTCGAACTAAAATAATGGTAATCACTGCAACCAAAACTACACATTTTAAGGTACTTACAATGTATAAAGCAAGCTGGTAAGATAGTTATCTTTGACAATTTAAATGTAAACATCAGTCAGTTATCAAGAAAATTAAAAAGATTCCGTGTTTCCTCATTGAATATTTATATTTTGGAGAATAGACAAATTAAACACACAGAAAATAAAAGGAATATAAACCTTAAAAAAACAAACGCGAACAAAACGATCGTTTTTCAGTTTGTTTTCATTATCATAAAACGCTGAATTTGGAATCACTGCGAGTTTCTAAAATGATCATATTTTCTGAAAGTCCTCTCAAATTAGAAATACATTAGACATAGGCTTCAAAAATAAATCTCAAAACAAACCTTTTCACGACATAACCATCGCACAAAACGGAAATCTAGTGGATCACCAGTATTATTTGCCAACTTGAATGGACCATCTGGAAAGGACAAAGTACTGAATTCATCATAAAACAAAAACATGTTACAATCCGTCAAATCGGGAAAAAAATTGAAATTAAGAAATAGTAATGTTGATTAGTTAGATAACATGATACCATGTCAAAACAGTACTTGCCTATGTTTGAAAAATCTGCCACCATAAAATAGCCAGAATCAGGAATGACAGGCTTCATTCCCACTTCCTGCAGTATTGATGCCATTCGGTCTCTTTTTTCCATTAAATTTAATGTTATTCCGTTCTTTAAGTAACTTTCTGTTGGATTACTTTGCATAATGTCCATTTCTTTTTCAAATGCTTCAGCTACAGCTTCCTACAAATTCACAACTAGAACACTACAAAACACTGCTAAATTTACAAATGAAAGCTGAATAATTTAGATTTATAAATGCTACAAAATACTTAACCTTGTAAAGCAGCGTTACAAAAATGAGACTGATATATTTTATAACTTTGCTGAATAAGAACAGATGCTTTACATGAGTGAATGCAACGCACTAAAGGACTGATTATCGAAATACAAATATTAAAACAGAAAAAGCAATAAAATTTAAAAAAAAAACACTTTTTTACTGAATTTAAAAACATACTTGGATAGGAGTTGGACAAGTGAAGATACAATTTTGATGAATTCGTCTTAGCGGTTCAAGAAGTTTAGCTGGACCAACAGACCACCCCAATTTCCATCCAGTAACACTAAATGCTTTTCCAGCACTACCAACAGTTATTGTATGTTCGTACATATTCGGTAAACTGGCTTCAAAAAAATGCAATAAAATAGTTAAAACAATGAACACAATTCGAATCAAATAATTTTTGTATCATTTCAAATATATGCATCAAAACAATACACATAAATATAAGGTGCTAAAAAGTTTAATACGACCAAAACGATGCATTCTTTTGCCTCCATAAACATGCCATTCATATACTTCATCCGCTATAACTAATAAATTATGGCGTTGAACAATGTCAGCTATACCCTCCAGTTCTTTCCTGTAAAAATAATCCATTAAAAAGCACAATAAAGAATACGACCAGAAAGCAGAACAGATTTTTAAGAAAAAATAGATTAAACTCAAGAACATAAACAACGTTATACACACGTTCTTATAACCTAGCATTGATAGCTTCGAGATGAATTTACAATAAACAAAAAATCAATTTCAAAGCGGACTACCGGAATATATAGTGATAACTAACAATGTAAACAACTTCCCAGTCGGATTATGAGGATTATTAATAACAATCATTTTCGTCCGTTGATTGATTTTTGCTTCCAGTGCTTTCAGATCCAGTGTGTAATCTGCACTGCTACTGAATTCTGACGGTAATTCAAGCACAACTGACACAGGTATTCCACCTGCCATAAGGATTTGTGGTACATAGCAATCAAATGCCGGATTAATTACTAAAAAATTTACTTGTAGCAAAAGTTAGTAGTCTCACACCGCAGACAATTTCTGTTTCATTCTAGAAAGTTAGTTGATTCAGAGCAAGGCTGTCCTTGTATTTAAAATGCTCAAGTTTTTAGACAATTTCAAGGCACACTATAAAGGGACACAATATAATCACTTGTTATAGAAGTGATACAGTACACAAGACACAGTTGCTTCTGCAAAACATGAAATTTACTGACCAATCACTTCATCGCCTTGATTTAACCAGCCCATAAATGCATAATATAATGAAAGATATGCGCCAACGGTCACCAAAACATTTTGCTGTGCATCAACATCAACACCTAATGTTCTTGAATAAAGTCTTGATAAAGCATTTACCTGGAATTTTACAAAAATTGTAGAATGAACAAGAACTGCCAAAACTTAGTCGATTTAAAAGGCAAAATATGTACCAATTTGGGATGACCGAAACTTCGAGTGTACTGATGGAAATCAGTCCTTTCTGGATGTTTGGTAACATTTTCCAGCATCTTTACCACAAAATCGGGCGCTGGAGTATCAGGAAAACCCTGCATAATGACTGAGTTTTAGATAAGCTACACAATATTGATTAATTAATTAATTAAATTAACTATGTGGATAGTAACCAACCTGTCCAATATTTACTGCATTGCACTCCACTGCTAAGCTCGTGAATTCTACCCTACGAAAATAAACAATAAAAATAATTAACAACAGTAATAATGACTAGATATTCTCTTCATAATGAAGCTTGATGTGCAAGAAAACATCTATATTCAATTTGCCAAGTATTTCATAAGTGTTAATTTGATAACACTGTTTTTGTGTCACTTATTTTTTACTCACGAAAGCCAAGGCACAGAATAATGAAGAGGCATACCAAATGTTAGGCTTGACTTCTTTTACTCGGTCAGATGTGGAAAATTGCTTTTTTTCAGAAGACATGATTCCTAGTAACGCTCGAATTCTATCAAAATTATGAGATGCTGAGAATAATGCACTGATGTGTTTAGGAAGACTGCTTCTCTGCATCAGTGCTGTTGATAACAATGAATGAATACTTCTAAAACTGATAACTTTTTTCATACGAAGTCAATAAAACCATTCATTATATATGTATTGCCACACTCTCACACAGAATACTCTTTATGTTTAAATGTGAAAAATAATGAAACTCAGTAATGATAAACTAAACATAACATAATTAAAATAAATCAAATATTAAACTAATACTATAGCTTCAATCTTAATCCAATCTTTCCTCATCCATACTTGTTTCTTCTAACCATCTCTTTTAATAAACAATTCATTATAATAGACAATCGGAACACGATCTTATCTTTCCGCATACTATATTGACCCCAATCAAGTCAATGAATAAAAAATTAGCTTAATTATATAGCATGTTGCAGCATAGAAACAGCATAGAAATTTCACGGAAATATCCCTGAAACAAAATAGACAATTTGTTAAACATACTTATAAAATGTCGGAGTTTGTTCAAATCCATGTGAAAATACCTGAAAACATCTTTGCACAAGTAAAGAACACCCGGGATTCCTTAACAGTGTGAACCCAGAAGGATCCAATAATGTTTTTAATGCTACTCATGAGTCAATAATGATTCTCCGACACACCCTTCAAATTCTCAACGAATATTTACACAGAGAACCATATTTCATGACTGCAACACGCTCACATTATCGGGAGAATCATTAATGTAAACACAAGACTCCTTCTCAACCACCAAACTTGGGAAAGTTTCACCGCACCAGTTTCTTTCATATGTCTGTAATGAAAACAATGTGTACAGACCCAAATTTGAGAAAGTTTATCGCTGAGCACTTAGGTCTTCTATTTATTACATTTGAAATTACACTTCTTGTTCCAATCACACTAAAAGTGAGAAATCACACAAATTAACAATCTTCGACAATAGAAACAAATAAATGCGAAATATGAATCATAATAAACAAGAGTCCGCACCTACGTTTATGCATCCAAAACCCATCCTTTTTAATACATAAGTTGTCAAATCTCATTTTTTGCAAATAAATACAAAAGTTAGTAAAGATTATACAAAAACACTTGCTCGATAACCTCGCTTGGAACGCATTCTTATCCCATGTTAATGTTATCATCTAATTAACCATCACACTGGTACCACATAAAATAATGCCACCATCTGTGTGGATTAGTAGGAATGAAAGACATCATTTTAATCAGGTCGAGAAAAACATTTCTTCAGTAATGACTAACGAAACTAACAATTTAGAAATCTTAATGCATATTTCAAACTTTCAAATATTCCAAAATACTTCTTCATAGTTGATCCTTCAAACTGGCAACACTTTGCTGTTGCCTCATCAGAAATTTTATAACATTCTTAACTTCAATGCACCTGAGACAACGAGAAACGAAAAAGATTCGGAGAAAAAAAATTGCCTCCGGCTTTCTTCGTTTCTTGTCGTTTGAAGTTAGTTGAGGTTAGAATGTTACAAAGTGTAATTTCTCATTATTTAATTATAATTTCTATTAACAGAAAAGTAATATAACTCTAAGGCAAGAAAATAAAGTGTGGGGACTACATCGAAAATTTCAAATGGGGACAATAATAACTAGAACACATTCAGTGAACAATATCAAAAAACACAAATAAATGGAAGAAGCACTTTTGACAAGCTATCAACATCACAAACTGACAGTAACAAAACTGCAATCATTACGGTAGAAAACTGTACTATTTGAACATAACAGAATGTCAATAATTTGATTTCTTCACAAAATCCAAAAAGTAAAAGTACGGAATAATTATGTCTTTAAGGCACATGAAAAAATATTGCTTATTAAGAATGTCCCCTCGTATTTAACTAGCTGGAGGTAGAAAGTATTACACTAATTCCAAATGTTGGCTTTACTGATCCAATATAAGTTCCATTCTTCAAGTATCACTTGGTTTCTGTTCAATCTTTCAGTAAATGAGATGAACATATTTCAAAAAACTATTATTTAAGAGCAAGTAAACGAACTAAATTATATCTTTTATTGTTATTCTAACTAAATTTTAAAGATCTTCCCTATTCTCACTGCTGCATGTAATACTAACAGAATTTAATAAGTTTTGAGGAATATTTTATTTCTCGGTGCTTATGAAGTGAGTAGACGGAATTAAGGATCATGAATACTATGTAAAAGAAAAAATAAAAAATGTAGAAAACATTACAAATCGCAAAGTTAATAACTGCACTACTATTTCCATACAGCATACATCTACAAACACTGGTTCAGACAAACCACACAGTGACATGAGAATGTAATTAATTTCGATCAAGAACTATTTTTTTGAGCAAGAAATAACATATTGTAGAGCATCATCCAGATCAGAAAAAACCTGAAGAAATTAAGTGTTTATACATATTTCATGAATTTCAAGCGGTAAATTTATAGTAATTTTCAGTCTTTAAAATCACACTGCATTCAGCTTGACTGATTCACCATATATACTTATATAAACAATTCGAGCACTCATGAGAGCTGGCAATTGCTATCAACACTTATTTTAAGCAAAAAATTTAACATTTTTTAGCAACAATACTGATATTTAACTTTAAAAAGTGAAATGAATTATTGACGTATATGAATCACTTCTTTAGATTTTCAAATGTTGCAAGAAATATAGACATACATTATTACAAGCTATATCATATTTTGATTCCTTTATAAAATCTAACAGATTTAATTTAAAAAACCAGAACCAACAAAAATCTTGCTACTCTGATTGAATTATCAGTGACTACATTAAATTTTTAGCTGTTCAGAAAACATGCAGAAAGAAATTCAAAAATTAAACAAACAAACTTCGCAATGTTTTCTTTTAGCCATATCCCTGAGATAGCAAAAAGCCATTCGGTAGGATTCATTACGCCTTTCAATATATTTTCTCAATTCTTCATCATCATCTGATGTATAAGTGAACATTTCAGCACGTTTGGGCACACAAATTGTCAGCTCCATTGTTGCATGTCCAAGAAAATAAGCTACCTATAATAACTACTAAATGAATAAATTAATGACGATAAAATTAATCGAAATTATAACTTTCTTACGCTATAATTTTTTCAAATTTTATGATGAGGAGATTTAAAAAATTTTTTAGACTACTTGTCTGACAATTGTAGAAAACAAACCTCAACCATACCAGAAAGCATAGTTTCACAAGATGGTATGTGGTAGAGTATGTGCTTTGTCATGCGCAATGTGTGTAAACGTTTTTGTTTTCCTACCATTAATTCCGAACAAAATGATAACCCTTTCCTACTGTAAAAATTGCTGTTAACAGCAAATGCTCAAAAACTTCAACCTCAAAATAAAACATGTCAATGATGCAATTACAAACATAATAGTGAAAAATTTACACATCATGCTGATTCATTAGAAACTCAAAACAGCATAATCAGAATACTTTATTAGAAGTTAAAGATTGTATTATATGGAACAAAATTTCATGGATATTTTATATGTTTTCATTTACAAACTTTAACTCAATAGCAAGATAATCACATGATAAAACTAACTGCAGCTGCGGAGCAGCACGATGGTTAATCCAGATTAAATCAACACGATTCCTAGAACTGCATCCAAGAAAGATATCATAACCATACGTATTCATCCATCGTAATGGATTGGTAACAGTGCTGCTACTATTATAACATCGTTTATTTAATACTGTAAAAAATATTGCTTATTTCCATATATTTGCCACAAAAAATGAAAGTAAAACCCAAGAATAAGCATATAAAGCCTATAGGTTTTGTTCATAAAATGTCATACAGGGACTTACCCAAGACACAGTAACACTAGCTTTTAATTGCGAAAATTATTCATATAATTTTCCATTAACTCTCAAAAATTCAGTAATATTTATGCTTAGTGAATTTAGTGAAAAATAAAATTCGGTGACGAAAAAAAATTATGAACAAAAAGTTACTTCGTGATAAAGATAAAGTAACACATTTATATCCTATATTTAAAAAAATATTCAATTTACACCCTATTCCAAAACTCAATAAAATTAATTCACAACGACTACCAGCGCTTACTAGAGTATTCTTAGAATTATGACAGTGCTAAATATAATTGCGCAAGTCTAACAATTAGAATAAGGTAACAAATTTATCAAACTGTAACTATAATTATGAATAATATTTAGAAGTTACTTAAAGTAAGATTATGCAGAAAAATTATTGAATAAGATATCTCTGTTTTGTAAAAATCAAATTGCAGAAACTTACAATCAGAAGAAAGCGAATTTCCAATGCTACGTACATTGCGACCTACCGACTGATAACAATAATTGAGCGGAACTTGCTGAGCAACAATACTGCAAGGCACAAAAGCACGACCAGGTATTGGTAGTGGAAATGTTGTTGCTCCACTGTGGTGTACTAATTTAGCACGACGACGAGCAGCTGCATTTAATTTATAGCAATAATAAATGGCTGAGAAAAGTGCCACAAAAACGTCAAACGCAAGAAATGGTATCAGCAACAAAAATAGTGGAAGTGTGCGCAGAAAGAAATACATCGGCAACAACAATAAAATTTCAAACAGACCTAAAAATTTCAGTTAAATCAAAAAATAGACTCTAGCAAAGTTGAAAATTTAATTCCAAAACTTAAATTTGCTATTTGACTAGAGAATTAATCCTCTTCTTCATATGCAAAAACAAAATACTTCTATCCTAACTGAGTATATTTCAATTCAAATATTTGTAATTGAATGCATATAAAAAATATGGCGAGGCAAACTATATGAGAAAAATAATTTAAGCATGAAGTGTTCAGAGAAAAAAGAACATATCATTAGTAAAAATTATTGAAATGAAAAAAAGTGAGCAAGAACAGAAATTTGCAAAAACACTGAAAACAAGAATTGATACAAAGAGGTTTATGTATGACAAAAAATTTATTACAACAAATATGGAAATGAATTACCTAATAAAAGAAATTTGGTTCCTCTCCATTTTGTCACACCACTTTTAACGCTTCTTAAAGCATCTCGTACGTGATTGACAGAATGCCGGCATACACGCTTTCCACGTAAAAGAATATATGGAAGCCTCTGCAGTGGATTTGAGAGCGCCTCCGACCAGCTCTTTTCTCCAATTATAATTTCATCAATATAATAAAGAGCATCCTGAAAATATCGTCCTTTCTCGTATCAATTTTTCTATTCTAATAATAATAATTTTAAAATGCTTAAATTTGTACAGAGTCTGCATCTAGGCCAACATATAGGTCGCATCACTTGGTTTCACCCAATGAAAAAAAAAACCTGAATAGAATGCAAGACCGGAACTTCATGTATCGTTAGTATATCATCAAGAAGATCACATGTGCGTTTACGATCAGCCAAATCTTCTGGATGTGCCTGCTTCTTCCATTCTGATTGTCCGAGAAAAACAACAACGAGTTTAGGTGCTTTTCGGGCAGCAAAATGAGCAATTTCAAGAAATGATGTCGCGTTGACGGTCGCTGGATCAAGCACAAACAAAAATAGACTTGAGTTCTAAAGTAAAATTTGGTTCAAAATAGTTTAAACTATTTTGAGCTTTTTTTTTCACCCCTTTAACAATGGATTGTATTTGAGGTTCTGTTCTCAGAAAAAAATTAAAAACTATAGAAAGACAGAAGAATGAAATTGGAGAAGGCTCGGAATTACGCTAATTTTTAGAAATATTACGAAAGATTAAGCTATTGATATTGAAAATCTTACTGATGAAAATATAAGTGAAAATCACAACCTCTTTAGCTACACTTTCTTCATTGATCATATGTTCATTCCAAACACTCCGCTGAGGATCATAATAACTAATTGCATGCTTTTCCAAATAAGGTATAACCTAAAATAGTAAGTGAGAAATTTTGTTTCTTTTAATCTCTTTAGAAACAAAATCTTCAATTTTTTTAGGCAAAGAATTTCTCAAGTTTCAATTCAAAATTATGATAACGATTACCAAGTCTCTCCGCCACACAGTGTTACCACAACTACCACCTAAAAATACATCATATATTGGTTTTGACAGTGGGTCACTGATTTGTTCATTGGCAGATTTGACCGACAAGAGCTCACTTGCAACTTCAAAATCACAGCCACCCTAAAATTAATACAAAACATATCATGGACTCTATAATACTCCCGAGGTAGCATTATTAAGAACTTTTTAAATCTTGCAACAGAGACTAAAGCATTTTCGATGCTTACAAGCCTTCCATCGCAGCAAAACTGTATGTAGCTTTTCTCGCTATTGATTATTTGGGACTCTAATAAATGGATAATTTGAAAATATTTTTGACTCAAAGCGGTAAATTTGCAGTGAGCCCAATAAGTAAATTTTAAAATCCTTATTGCAATCATTAAAATGAAAAATACTGATGGAGTTTTTTGAAAAAGTTGTGACTAAAAAAATTAAGTAATTTTTTCGTCAATAAAATAGGCATTTGAGTGAATAATTGCTACAAATTATGATTAGTCGTTGAATGCTTAAGTTTTAAGAACTAAAAAACCATACATACCGTCCACTGAATTTTTGTGCACAGCGTTTTCATGCTTACACTTTGTGCACTGCGTATTCATACTTTTTTATTTGTAAATGACACACATTGTTCAGAATGTTACTTTTTTCGTACAGAAATAATAAAGTTAAATTTTTTTTTTTTTTTTGCATAAAAGTATAAGGAAAAATGACCAGTTTACAAGGAGCAGAAGTCGTTGTATTGATGAGAGTACGACAATGATGTTTACTATTCCTGACAGCTGGAGCCCTTGATGGACTGAATCCTGGCATCGGCAATACAGATAACGTATAAGTTGAACCATTACATTTATTAGGCATTAGCATAACAATTCTTAAAACAGTTTTGACTGGGGCAGTGCAACAGATGTTGTAATACTGTCAGCATGCTAAACAAATCTAAAATAAAATACAAAAGAGCGCATAAAAAGAAGCGATGAAATAATACGCATAAAATACGCACAACTCACAAATAAATAAATAAATCTATAGTTTAAATTTAATAATATAACAATATTAGTATGCAACTGAACTTGAAAAAAGTCATATGTACACTAAATGAGCACACTTCAATTCTTAAAACCATTCGATAAGTACAGTTTCTAAATTCAAAAAGTTCGAAATTTGTAATCTTTTATGAAATAATTAACTGAAAGTATTATTTCACATTTAAAAAAAGGAACATACAAAGGAAGAGCTATTTCAAAAATGACTGCAATAGTAAAATAATAACATGCGAACACAAATCAAACGCAGACAAAAAATGGAGGAAAATTTGAAATTTACAAATGACAAAAGGGTCCAAAGAGCAGCAAAGTTTTAAGTAGGAAAATTTTTAAAAAAATTCAAAAAGTGCCATTAAAATTTAAAAAATTCAAATAGTACCATCGAAAATTGTGTACTTTCAACATATAAACTTTTCATATACTTGAATTCAAAAACTTGATAATTGCAAAAAATGGTATTGGATTCTATTTTCAAAACAGTTTTGATCTTGATTCGCTCTCAATAGTTTGAATTTACAAACAAGTTTCAAAAAACGAAAAGAATGACGAAGTCACGTGACAAAGAAGAGGAAATATTTTGGTTTTCACGAGGAAACACGTAAAACGCGGGCCACCCGGATATAACGAACATGGAAGGGTGGGATTTCCTCGTAGCATTGGCGGTTTTGATTAAGGGGCGGGAGATTGAGTTAGTCTAGCAGGTTTCAGATGGGTTTGGTAGAGTTGAGTTGAAGACGAGAACACTATTTAAAAGTGCCAGTGATGTAGTTGAGGCATGTATTACTTTACTTGGTTATCTTTAGGGTAAAATCTCAGGCAAGGTTCATTTTCGTATGCGGTTCGAATGTGGTGATAAAAGGGAATAAAAATTCAGAAAGTATTCAGATAGTTGTTTGTATGTAGAAAAAATCTAAATTTCAGCTTCGTAGCTAAGTATTAATATATTTCAAATTGCAGCCTACGAAGTCAAAGGCCGTAGGTTACTGGCAAATGATTGTTTATTTTTACTTCGAGGACAAACTTAAACTTCTAATCTTAACTAACTTCATATTAAACTTCTAACCTTTTCAATGATTTAAGTTGAAGGCAAGAACAATGCAGAAGATTCTTTCTAAAGAAGATTGGTATGAACTGGAAGTTCAGTCAGAGCATTGATCTAGCAAATGTTTTGTCCTACTTTGAAGAGGGAGGAAATAAATGCATTTGTTTGCTTGTGATTGTTGATGTTATAGTTAGCAACGAGCGTTCACGTCATTCTTCCACAATATAGAATGAAAAATGTAAAATAATAATTAAAATGAGGAAGGAAAAACGGAAACGAAGCAATTACCGCGTAGAATTCACGTATGTGGTAGTAGTTGTGCAGATCGTCGCACTTAACAAACGCAGTTATTAGGTTAATAAAAAAATAGTATTGACATAATTGTGCTTGAGCATCACGTGACTGCTTGCTACTAATTATATTAATATTAGCGGTGTCATTTTTATGGCGGTTATCTTTGCTCCGACGGTTGTTCTTTATTATAGCTAATTATTGTTATTATTATGTTAATTTGCATTAACAGATCTTGCGTTTTTCTCTGAAGAAGACATTAGTATAGAAAACATTCATGTATGCAAATTAGTTCCATTATCCATTATCCTCACCATTCTAGCAACTTGATCACTCCATACGTCATGTTAGAAATGTGAGGATAATGAGTAGAGGAAATGATAATTTTGCCTTATTAGGATTTCAAAAGTAAACTTATCGTAATTGGGGCATAAGATGAAAAAAGGAAGAATCGTTGAAGTCATTATGAAGAGAATTAATTTGCTCTCAAACGAATATCACTCGTTGAGAAATGTGAGAAGTCGTGAAATATTATCATGACACTACTCAGATTATTTTCAAAATACAAACACACAAGCAAACATACACACACGCACTCTTACTGCGAAGTGAATGACGCCCAGCGAAGGGATGAGGAAGTAAATGATGTCATACGGCAGTTTCCGTTTAAAGAACTTTTTCCTTTTTCAACCCTTTTTGAAGTTATTTGCAGACGAGAAAAATATTTTCAATTCGAAAAAAGTCACAAATTTGTGCTGGAAAAACTAAGTCTAAATTGAGGATCAGTTAGTTACTCCCTTGCTTGCCGAACTTGGCCTTCTCTTCCACATAACCTCTTCAGTAATTTTACTTGACCTCTTCTAGGAATCGTCTCGTAGAACTTTAGCTTCTTGCACATAATAATCTCAAAACTAATAAGCCAGAAATGCAGATAAAATAGAAAAAATATCTTGTAGTCGCTAATATTTTCATTAATTATGTGCACAATATTCTGACATAAATTAGGTAATTTAAGATTAAAAACAAGATTCTGGCAAAAAAAAGGTATGTTAAAAGTAAGAAATGAAATTCTCTGCCTTTCACTTTCTAGGATAAAACAAACTGCGTAATTTTAAAAGAGATTACTTTGAATTCTACTTAATCCTTAATATTTTATATTTACATGCCTGCAACTTGAGGCACTGGTGTATTTTGCTGCAAATTGTACCACACTTTTGTTTAGTGCTTAATGAAGCAAGAAATTAAACTTGCTACAGCATCGGGTCATTGGATAAATACGTCTGCTGCACTGCACATTAAAATTATTCTGCAGTAGTTCTATTTACGTCAAAAAAGCATCAGTAACTACAATTTCTAAATACCTTGGTGGAAGATTGATATTTTTAGTGATTAATGATTTCAAAGCAAGTCTTCAACATTCCATTTGTGATAAAGAAATGAGAATTTGGTGTGAAACTGAATAATCAGCGCTAAAATTACACGTTTTGACTCTTCACTGGCAAAGAAAGCAAGAAGAAATACTATCACTTATTACATACCATATTTTCTGAACATTGAACCAGATTTTCGTAGTATTCATCAAATTAAAGATCTTTTCTGAGAATGTTTTTTAGCCCCGTTTAGGTAACAATTTCTATTTTTATCAGCAAACCTACTTTTGAATTTTTCACTACATTATCAGTGCTTCCAAATTTTGAATAATTATTCACATTTTAAATTTTACGAATATCATTAAGAAACCTTTCACTTGGAAACATGAAGTACGCTTTTCCATTCCAAAGCATTAAGTATGCAAGGAGAAAGTTTCAGCTCGAGCCACCCAACTAAACAACTTATCGGTTTTAGCATTCATTAATTATTCGTTGATTTCAGTAACGCGTCATTCAATATTAAAAGCAATTGGTTTAGTTGAATATTTCAGACATTCAAATGCATATTTCTACTCCACTTTAATTTATTTACTAGTATTCATCAGATCACCGAAGAGGTTTTTATGGAAATGATAAAATTATTATCGAAGAAAGCAGACATAATTTAACATTTATAATTATTTAATAAAAGTACTTCGATTGAATTAGCGGAGAAGAAAAGTCGAAGTAAAAACAAAATATCCGTAATGAATTTAGGATTAAAAATTGCAATGAAAGTAAAATAATGCATAGTTTGATAACTGAGTGTAGTAATAAAAGTTATTTGGAGAAGCGGGAAAAAAATGCTATTTTAGAGCAAATAATTTGATTGAGCAATTTATGATGGCTCGCTGTATTGGTAAATCTCATTAAGCTGTGCTTGTGAAGATGACATCATTCCGTGTTCGCTTTTCAAGAGGATTTTGAGCCATTTTTGAGTCTGCTGAATCTCACGGAAAATAATGAGCTTTCCATAACTGTCAGCAATGCATTGCTTTCATATAGACAAAATAAAAATGACTGTCAAAAGACAATTTGAGCGATGCGATTTTTTATCCATTTTTGCATTCTTTCTTTTTTGCGACTTTTTTATTGCTAAGTAATTTTTAAGACTGTCAAAGTTATTGCCAAACATCAATGGAGGCATTGAATTCGGTATGATGCCAGCACTTTTTTGCTAATCTTAATATATGCATGCATATTCATCTCTCACAACTGAAAACTATTTCTATCTCGCTCCGGCTAATGAATTACTGACTTAATCTCTGATCAGTTCGATTTTACTCATCTGAGATTAAAGATATGTGAAGAAACCCCTAGCACTTTATATGGTATAGCCAGCAAATATTTTGCTAAATACTTATTTTATCTATAAAATATTTTTAATTTACTTGAAACTAAAAACTATAAGGCAGTGAAAATAAAGCCAAAAAAATTCACTATTTTTGACTAAAAATGTCTGAAAATAATTGCTGAATCACACTAAGCAGTGATGATAATTTCAAATCAATTCATCTAATGAAGAGAAAAAATGCAAGCAAAGGGGCTGGGTGAGATTACAATTAGGACTAAAAACGGACCTGAAATTGGATGGATATATTCAAGTAATGCAAAGTGACCGAAATTAACTAACTGAACGGAAGACTAAGACACCATTCATCACTAAATTGATAGCAACGAAAATTTTGCTTAAAGATTTTCAAAGAAAATTTAAAAGTGCAGTTCACGACAATGCAAATTTTTTACAATTACATTAACGCTTACTTTCACTTAAGACAGAATTTAATTTTGTTTTACTCGTGAAAAATTTCAACGCATTTCATTATATTACTAAGGACTGTTTTTTGGATGCATGCATAATGTGTTATTTTTGTTGTTAACAAAGTGTACTTACAGCTGAAAGTATTGTAGAAGTTTGTGTTCGCAATAACCAGTAGATTTAGTCTTACACATGAAAAAACTTCAATTTCTTGACTTACTGATGAGGATATTTCTGAGAAAAGTCATGTTTTGTATGTAATTGTAAGTAGAAATTTTGCGTCTTTATGCTTCTCGATCGTACTGAGAGAGTGT